TGGCCCTATATAGGTTTGTGATGACGCTGACGTTTATGGCCCTAAATAGGTTTGTGATGACGCTTACTTTTAATGGCCCTAAATAGGTTTCTGATGACGCTCACGACAACAGCAATAACATGTTTTTATGATCAGGGGAATTCAGCCAAGATGCTAACATAAAATCAACTCTGAAATAAGTTGAACATTTTGCTATAAGAAATATCGCGTTTGATAACTTTGAAACACTACAAGCAACAAGTACACGCAAATTGTACAAGCAACAAGTACATGCAACCTGTACAAGCAACAAGTAAATGCAACCTGTACAAGCAACAAGTACACGCAACTTGTACATGTAACAAGTACACGCAACTTGTACAAGCAACAAGTACACGCAACTTGTACATGCAACAAGTACACGCAACTTGTACAAGCAACAAGTACACGCAACTTTTACAAGCAACAAGTACACGCAACTTGTACATGCAACTAGTACACGCAACTTGTACATGCAACAAGTACACGCAACTTGTACATACAACAAGTACACGCAACTTGTACATGCAACAAATACACGCAACTTGTACAAGCAACAAGTACACGCAACTTGTACATGCAACAAGTACACGCAACTTGTACAAGCAACAAGTACACGCAACTTGTACATGCAACAAGTACACGCAACTTGTACAAGCAACAAGTACACGCAACTTGTACATGCAACAAGTACACGCAACTTGTACAAGCAACAAGTACAAGCAGCTGTTTTATCTTCATTCGTCTAACAGTATCAGATGTCAATAGATGCGATTCTAAAAATAAATGTATGGTCATCAATTATGCACCGCTGTATGGTGTTGTTGTCATTTGACCTGACGGGTCTAGATACACGAGATAGGTTGATGGATAGCTTTGTTAAGCCTTAGACAGAAACAGCTTGTAAAAGGTAGAACAGGGGGAAATCGTCTAAACTGAATTGTATCAGCTGGATTTGTATCAGCTAGGGTTGTATAACCGGATTTGTATACCTGGAGTAGTATACCTGGACGACTTGAGCAATAACTGCATAGCTGCATGGTCTCAAGTGGTTATTGTTTCCCTAGATCGTCCCAGGTGGATGTGAAGACCATGATGGTCTTGGTAGTAATTGTATACCTAATTGGACTCAGTAGTAAGAGTATACCTGATTCATCTCAGGTGGCATTGTATACCTGAATCGTCTAAGGTGTCATTGTATACCTGAATCGTCTCAGGTGACATTGTATACCTGAATCAACTCAGGTGTCATTGCATACCTGAATCATCTCAGGTGTCATTGTATACCTGAATCAACTCAGGTGTCATTGTATACCTGAATCATCTCAGGTGTCATTGTATACCTAAATCAACTCTGTTGAAACCAATATACTTTGATGGTCTGAGTAAGACCAAGCAAATGAGTTTTGCTCATTCATTTACTGACCCCCCCCCCTATTTTTCCTCCTTTTTTTTTAGGGATCGTTTCCTGAGATTGAGTTATTTCATCTTCTTTAGTCACACCTGAGTCGTGTATTTCGTAGTGAAGAATTCGTGCTAAACACAAGCACGGTTCCCGCTGAACGTCATGATGTGATGATTTGAGCTGGTGATGTTTTTTTTAAGGCAACGGAAACTAGCAAGTCACGAAATGTTGCTTTTCAATTGCAAGGGAAGTGACGTGCCAGAAGCAAATATATTAAACACACGCGACTGGCTTCGGCTCCAGAAAGGACTTTGATAAAATGTTATAAGTGAAATAGAAATCCTAAATTCTTTGTTTGAGCTACAATACTATTTATGATATTTAAAGACAACTAGACTCAACTGTTTTTGTTTTTATGACGTCAATGGTAAGCTAAAGAAAACTCCAGTAGCGCAACCCTCGAGGACGAAGTAAGCTTATTGTTGGCTTCACTCCTCTACGTCCTCCTCCATGCCCGTCCCCACCCTCTCACACTACTCCACCACGCCCCTCCTCCACGCCCTTCCTTCGTGACCCACCTGCCTGCCATCCACCTCCTACAGATAGGAGCATGTCTCGCAACAATATAAATATAAAAATCCTAATTGAAGTAAAAATTGTCGGGTCGAATTTCGCTGCCCAGGACCTTTTAAGCCTGTCTACAGATTTCAAACTAGATTTTTAAATGTTAAGACTATATGAAACCAGATACATTACATGTTGTCTCTGTTAAAGCTGCAAGCTAGAAGAGGAAATTATTGGAAATTTAAAACCATTTTTTTGGGTCGAAGTTTGGGCTTTTCTTTGTACTTTTTAAATTTCAATATCACAAATTTAATCTCTTTTAGTCAAACCATTTCATTTTTGTAATAATCATTTTAAAGTTAATAAAGGGTAGTAAAATAGAATAATGGATTTACATTTCTGGATGTATTGCTTACTTAAGTGATTACTTTTGTCATCTAGATATTACGACACTTATTAGCTATATTTTCCCTCCTGCAAATTAATTTCTAAACACAGTAAGAAACAGTACGAACACAGTGAGGATACAGTGAGGACAAAGCGAGGACACAGTGAGGACAAAGCGAGGACACAGTGAGGACACAGTGATGACACAGAGAGGTCACAGTGAGGCATAGTAAGGACACAGTGAGGATACAGTGAGGACATTAGTGAGGACAGTGATGACACAGCGAGGACATAATGAGGAGACATTGAGGACGCAGTGAGGACATATTGAAAACACAGTGAGGAGAAATTAAGGACACAGTGAGGAGAAAGTGAGGACAAAGTGAGGACATAGTGAGGATATAGTGAGGACATAGTGAGGACACAGTAAGGACACAGTGAGGAGAAAGTAAGGACACAGTGAGGACATAGTGAGCAGAAAGTAAGGATACAGTGAGGACACAGTGAGGAGAAAGTAAGGATACAGTGAGGACATAGTGAGGAGAAAGTAAGGACACAGTGAGGACAGAGTGAGGACATATTATCTCAGTTTCCTCTGTGTCTGTGTATGACAAATAAAACAAAAAAAGTTAAATACGAAATAGAAATCCTAAATTCTTTGTTTAAACTACAATGCTATTTAAAGAAAATTAGACTCAACTGTATTTGAAGACAAAACTGTACAACATGGACACTTTGAAGACACGTTAAATTTGTTTCAAACATTTCTCTTTTGATTTAATTTTCTTAGTACAATAAACAGTCCACATGAAATTTATTAATCATCATCATTATAATGGAGATTATTTGAAAACAAAAATGTCAATGTTACGAGACAAGTGTTGGGCAGAAGGGAAAACCTAACAGTAATGTTTACAGTGTGGGGTAGAGTTGCTGTAAGGCACCATGCAAGAACCTTGTTTGATCCATAGAAAAGTCGAGATGAAAGCCAGTTTTACAAGAGGATTGAACATTTGTAAGGTATAGACCAGCGCATCTCAAGCTGTGGTACATATACTTCCGTGGTACATAAATTTGTTTCAGGTGGTCCATACAAAAGTATAAAATTGACACATAACCAGTGCATTACTAAAGTTCAAACGGGTAAAATGCACAAATCATCACCGGTAAATATATTATTAAGGTGTATTCAAGAGGTCCAACATTCATAAAATTTGAGAACCAACATTCTAGATAATAAACTACACTAGCTCCGTACTATGATTGTTTGAACTAATCATATGATATTTGATAATAATAACTCGCAATTAATGCGAGAATTTGATATGTTTACAGCTCTTAATTGTTGTTTTTAAAAAATAGGAATTATCACCATTAAATAATGCATTTTATAAAAACAATATATTCATAACATTCACATGCACTTCAGTTAATCTTTGCACCATTGATATTAGATGTGCAATTACAGTTCATGGGAAATAGGAAATATAAATGTGGACCAAAATATGCACGAGAGCTTAACAAAAAATACCTTTTGGATTTCTGGGGCTGCAAAAGACCTGGATAACTTACATCACTGCAGACACATTGGGCATACATTTGACATACACCGCACATTTGACTCACATCGGACACAAAATCAAAGAGTCATTCCTTTTGTTTCATGTCACGTGATTGTTGGGATGCTCAGATTTCAGACATTCGTCATAATTTAAAATAAATGAGTCGTTGTAAAAATCAGAATATGCGATGTTACCTGTGAAATGCGCTAACTGCCACTTTGCGTCAGTTTACAGAATGTGAGCTTATGGTTTCAGAGTCATGTTACAGAATGTGAGTCTTATGGTTTCAGAGTCATGTTACATAATGTGAGTCTTATGGTTTCAGAGTCATGTTACAGAATGTGAGCTTATGGTTTCAGAGTCATGCCACAGAATGTGAGCTTATGGTATCAGAGTCATGTTACAAAATATGAGTCTTATGGTATCAGAGTCATGTTACAGAATGTGAGTCTTATGGTATCAGAGTCATGTTACACGATGTCAGTCTTATGATATCAGAGTCATGTTACATAAGTCTTTGTGTCTGTTCTGATTTTACAATAGCCTTTATTTAAAATTCAAATCTTTGTTTTTAAAAAAAATACAGTTGTATAGAAGGAAATGCCACTATTAGTAAATGGTAAAGTTGACAGGACACGAGACAAAGGATGAACGTGGAAACAAAACAATCTGTAAAACGACATTTGTACACTTAACATTTCTAGTTGATTCAATATAAAATCTATTTAATCTTATGGAATGATGTACGTGTCAAGGGAAGATACATTCATAGCCAGATATCCACTAAGAAGAAGATACATTCATAGTCAGATATCTTCTACGTTATGGGGAACTCTCTCAGTCCGAGCCCAGATTTTACGGCCGTACCGGAGACTGCCCACCGGTGATACGTCCAGCTCCTCTTCGTCACCAACTTTTATCTGCTCTGTTACCGGACTCAGCCGAACGGTGCCGGTCCTGACCGTGGATGTCCGGAAATCAGAGGCGTAGTAACAGCTCATGTTGTTGGACCTGGTGACGCGGTGAAGTCTGCTTTCGACGCCGCGCCGGGCGGGCCTTGAGCAGCAGACGCGGATGGCGTCTCTGAAACCACGGCGGAAGTGGCGCGACATGAAGCCGTAGACGAGAGGGTTAAGGCTGGAGTTGAGGTAGGACAACAGGGACATCGCCATCCTCAAGGGCTTGAGTGGACCGACGTGCAGCTTGTCGAGGACGTCGAACGCGACCAGCAGGTTGTTGATGAGGATCGGGCCCCAGCAGACGACGAACAGAACCACCACGACAATCAGCATCCTGATCACCTGAGAAGGGGGGGGGGGTGGTGGAAGTGAAAGAAAGAGAAGGTTAAACGAAAAGGTTGTTGATGAGGATCGGGCCCCAGCAGACGACGAACAGAACCACCACGACAATCAGCATCCTGATCACCTGAGAAGGGGGGGGGGTGGTGGAAGTGAAAGAAAGAGAAGGTTAAACGAACACATCACTACATAGTGACACTGGCGTGGGAATCAGGTGTAGTGTGGGCGCGGGGGGATGGTGCTGTACGCCCCAGGTGGCACGTTTTTCTAGATATTCGGATGTCATTTTAAAAAAAATGCCGTTTTTTTTTCTTGGTGGTGTGGGCTGAAAAAATATTGGCACGCCCCGGTCGGTATTAACCCCCGCTACGGCTTTGCGTAGCTCTAGACATTTCTCACATAACGTTGGTTCATGTTATATTTTGATTTGACACATACTGACTGTTGCAAAAATGTATGGATTTCAAAACTATGAGATTGCAGGTAATGTGACTAGAACTGTAAACTAAATAGAACATAGATTTAAACAACGTCTTCTTTGAATGAAATAGAAAATATATTAGAACAACTTCTTTTCTGAATGAAATAGAACAAAGATTTAAAAAAAAAAAAAAAAAAAAAAAAAAAAAACCACCACAAAAAAAAAAAAAAAAAAAAACAACTACCTCCCTGATTGAAGGAGGAAAGAAAATGTCCCTCAAAAAAATAGTAATTATATTTTTTAGCGTTTTAGTTTAATTTCAGGACCAGTTTGATAATCCTCTCTCAGATGGATTATATAATCCTTGCTTACAAACAGAAGATTCACTGTCCCGCCCGTCCCTCAAACAAGAAGGAAAAAAAAACCCCATTAAGACAACAACAAACCAAACAACAAAGTTCATACAACTATTTTCTCCATTCTTTTCAAGCTATTTTAGATTTGACGCGACCTACCCACTTGAAATAAATCAGCTTGTAAACACATTTGAGGAAAAAACTTGAGCATTCTAATGGGCTAAAAAAAAAAAACAACAACCTTAAAGAAATCGTATTTTCTTTCTCCGATTTATCTGAAAAAATATGAATGCGTTGTAGGGAAGGCAATCTGAGAAGAACGCCCAGTTGTAGCAATTTATTTGGAGATTGCTGGGAGAGCCTCACTGCCTCAAGCACAATAGCCGCCGAGTCTCTAAAGGCCAAGGAATGCAAAAGAGGAGGGGGGGGGGAGGGGTAATTATTCCGTTTCAAATCATCAGGGTTGGTTACTCGCAATAACCACTGCGGCAGACCCACCAGAGTTATCGAATTAAAAATGAGATTGGATCTGGGAAAAGGGAAACGTTTTGTTTATAGCGTTGTATAAAGGTTTGCTTTCTTGTTTGTTGGTTTGCTGGTTTGTTTGTCTAGATTTCTATTAAATAATCATTGAATTAATCTTTTAAAAAATAATTTAATTTAGCTAGTTTGATTTTGAAATTGCAGACTGTTATATAAATAAGTATACATTTAAAAAAAAAAGGATTAATGAAGCTGGGGCTGATATGCTTACTGAGCTTTGTAAATGTATTTACTTTTAGTTTTAGTTGAATGTTTGTAGCTTGGTTCATAGATCTGGGACCGTTTATCCCACTGAGTGAAATCTCAGATTAAGTGTGAAAACAAACAATGTCGGTCTTAAATGAATAATTAAAAAAAGAAAAGTTGCATATCATTTGAATCGTTGAGTTAAAGATAATGTCAGTTTTTTTTGTGTATGAAGACTTCATTGCTCAAACTATTCAAAGTTTTAGTCTGAAAATACTAGGACTGCATATCATTTGAATCGTTGAGTTAGAGATAATGTCAGTTTTTTTGTGTATGAAGACTTCATTGCTCAAACTATTCAAAGTTTTAGTCTGAAAATACTAGGACTGCATATCATTTGAATCGTTGAGTTAGAGATAATGTCAGTTTTTTTTGTGTATGAAGACTTCATTGCTCAAACTATTCAAAGTTTTAGTCTGAAAATACTAGGACTGCATATCCTAGAGTGACAATGGGAGAAAATTATCAACGACAAAAACTCAAATTTATTTTTGAGTTATAAATCTTCTCCTGCAACAGCTATAGTAGAACTGTTGGCACCATTCAGTTATAGCAGAACTGTTGGCACCATTCAATTATAGTAGAACTGTTGGCACCATTCAATTATAGTAGAACTGTTGGCACCATTCAAGTATAGTAGAACTGTTGGCACCATTCAATTATAGTAGAACTGTTGGCACCATTCAATTATAGTGGAACTGTTGGCACCATTCAATTATAGTAGAACTGTTGGCACCATTCAATTATAGTAGAACTGTTGGCACCATTCAATTATAGTAGAACTGTTGGCACCATTCAATTATAGTAGAACTGTTGGCACCATTCAATTATAGTAGAACTGTTGGCACCATTCAATTATAGTNGGAGGCAAAAAGAGATTTTAAGTGATGGGAGGAGGCAAAAAGAGATTTTAAGTGATGGGAGGAGGCAAAAAGAGATTTTAAGTGATGGGAGGAGGCAAAAAGAGATTTTAAGTGATGGGAGGAGGCAAAAAGAGATTTTAAGTGATGGGAGGAGGCAAAAAGAGATTTTAAGTGATGGGAGGAGGCAAAAAGAGATTTTAAGTGATGGGAGGAGGCAAAAAGAGATTTTAAGTGATGGGAGGAGGCAAAAAGAGATTTTAAGTGATGGGAGGAGGCAAAAAGAGATTTTAAGTGATGGGAGGAGGCAAAAAGAGATTTTAAGTGATGGGAGGAGGCAAAAAGAGATTTTAAGTGATGGGAGGAGGCAAAAAGAGATTTTAAGTGATGGGAGGAGGCAAAAAGAGATTTTAAGTGATGGGAGGAGGCAAAAAGAGATGGTCGTTGATGGGATCTTGTGTCTTCGTTCTAACAACGGATCTACAAGGATTAGAGATTAAAAAAATATTCTGGGATAACAGAAAATGACAGAATAATTTGTTATCCTATATTTTTGTTTAGAGTTTAGACATATGAAATGACACACCCCAATAATGGATTCGCATTATGGTGGTGAGAAATTTATAAGGGCCTCTCACTCATGGTTTTTATCTTGACTCCACCACTAAAATTAGTTCTGCGTTTTCATACAAAAAGGAAAGTTCCATATTCTTTGCAACTAGACCCTGTCATCGCGACACTGACAACCATGACCCGCGATGCCCTGTGACCTTGCGCCTGGTATGAGACTGAAAGTGATATATTATGGTATCCTATGACGAGACCTTTCCCCACTGTCCATCGCTGCACCGGCAATCAACAGTGTTCTCAGAGGTCAATGCCCAGTTTTGGTTTGACGCCATGTTCCTAAATCCAGCTCACCGCTTCCGATGCCATATAAACTCCGAGTTGCATATTTAAGATTTCAACAAAGAAGAACAATTAAACCGCGCTACATGTCATTTTTACTGATCACAAACAGAGAATCTAGATTTTAAAAAAAAAAAATTAAAAGAAAAGTACAGGCACAGAGAAACCAAAGGCTCTGATATTATAGGCGGACGCAATTTCCACTCGCAGTGTTCACTGAGCCGGCGGTTGATTTGTCTGGGCAGAGATAGCTATAAGAGCCTCACATAGATAATTATATAGAGTCATCCGATTCCACATTTTCGTCTTGCCCGCTCGTGGTACAACGGATGGTTATTCGGTAGTTAAGCCTGTCGATGTCAGTATGTGGGCCTGCTAGGACCCCAAGCGGCCGGTCTGAGCAGACTTGACCTTCATTTTCATTGACATCATTGCCCACATAGTTGACCACGCACTCAATTCTTGTAAATAACGCGATACTCTCCCTTTACAAGGCTTATTTTTTTATTCTTACTATTTCATTTCCATTGCCACAAAAAAAAAAAAAAAAAAAAAAAAAAAAAAAAAATAATAAAATAAAACATTGGACGCTTCATAGACAGTGGTCCCCAGAATATGTGTCCTGACGACAGGAACTTAAGATAACTGAAGTAAATTAAAATTAAATTTATTTAAAGCAGGTAGATGCTTTGTTTAAGACCCCATTTTTTATTCTTACTATTTCATTTCCATTGCCACAAAAAAAAAAAAAAAAAAATAATAAAATAAAACATTGGACGCTTCATAGACAGTGGTCCCCAGAATATGTGTCCTGACGACAGGAACTTAAAATAACTGAAGTAAATTAAAATTAAATTTATTTAAAGCAGGTAGATGCTTTGTTTAAGACCCCGAGTCAGATTAAAGAATAACTGTCAGTGATGACGACCACAATATATCCAAGAATAAACAAACTGACAAATAACACATGTCACTACATATCTATTAGACTATCAAATAACACATGTCACTACATATCCATTGGACTATCAAATAACACATGTCACTACATATCCATTGGACTATCAAATAACGTTACTTTGGAGATGGTGTCGGTGGGTCGTCGATTTCGCACTCATAATACCCCCCCCCCGGCACTCCCCCAAACGGGTCAAGGCCTCCCCCGAAGCCCCAGAACGTGCGGAAGCGCGCCGGGAACTTCCCTCCTGGCCTGAGGGACGTCCGGCAGACCGAGGGCGCTGCGTTTAAAGCGTCCGTAGTCCGCTCTCCTATGGGTCAGGACGGCTTTACTTCCTCTCCGGAGAGGTGGTGTTGCGTTACCACCCCCCACCGCCCAGGGAGCTGTCCGGTCGGGACGTAGCGGGGACGAAACGGTCGCCTAGGGGCGGCTTTCTCAGGGCCGCGTCTTTTTAATCATTGACTAGGGTTTGGGCGGCCATCCATTGCCTCATACCAATAACAAATGTCACTACATATCCATTGGACTATCAAATAACACATGTCACTACATATCCATTGGACTATCAAATAACACATGTCACTACATATCCATTGGACTATCAAATAACACATGTCACTACATATCCATTGGACTATCAAATAACACATGTCACTACATATACATTGGACTATCAAATAACACATGTCACTACATATCCATTGGACTATCAAATAACACATGTCACTACATATCCATTGGACTATCAAATAACACATGTCACTACATATCCATTGGACTATCAAATAACACATGTCACTACATATCCATTGGACTATCAAATAACACATGTCACTACATATCCATTGGACTATCAAATAACACATGTCACTACATATACATTGGACTATCAAATAACACATGTCACTACATATCCATTGGACTATCAAATAACACATGTCACTACATATCCATTGGACTATCAAATAACACATGTCACTACATATCCATTGGACTATCAAATAACACATGTCACTACATATCTACGAAAAAAAAAAAAGAAATGATCCAAAAATTAACGTGGCCGTGAACATTTGTCTGCCTCATCCTGACGTTTATGGAAATACATTGTTAAGATATCTTAAAGCAAGCCAAATACATTGTTAATATATCTTGAAGCAAGCCAAATACATTGTTAAGATATCTTGAAGCAAGCCAAATACATTGCTAAGATATCTTTAAGCTAGCCAAATGTTTTTTGCAAAAGACCCGTGTAGAATTACGAAGGAATAAGTCGACACATTATTTTTGTTTTAGAACATTAAGAAAAAAAACCCACCTATTTTTCAGATCAGTTAAATGACACCCTCGTCCCACCCGAAGCGTACCTACAGACGCACAGGTCAAGAACCCCTGATTTAAGGCGCTGTCTTCATCACCGCAGCAATGTGTGTTATCACTTTGAGCCAATGGACACGGAGCGATGTCATTCATCCTCTCTTCTCTGTTCATCTCAACATTATCTAACACAACATTCTTCATATACGCCATCGACCCTGGGCTTACAATCTTTCCAATTATCTCCCCTTTCTTCTGCTCATGGCGATTAACTGGTTCCCCTTTAAAACTGCCCCCCACCCATCCACCAGCCTCCGCTGTTGGCATGTACATTTACATTATCGATGTCTTTCTCACACTTTAATGGAATATGCGTGTCAGAATGGCTGTTCTCTTATTGTGTATGCCTCTTTTGGTTCGAGTTTAATTTACTCTGTTTTATTTAGCGTCTTTACATTGCCTGCTTTAATTAGTTTTCTCTTTTCGCTGAAAATATTTTTAAAAAAAATAAGCAGAAAAAAGGCCTTAAAAGGAGTATTAAAAATGTCAAATTATTCAAGGATGTCCCAGACGAATATGATTTTCCTCTTAACTTGAAGGATAAAAAAATAACCAAAAAATGTTTAATTAAAAAAAATAAAAGAGTTTACCGTGAGAACCCGTTAAATCTTTATGAGCTTTTTTAAAAATTCTTTTATAAAATCTATGGCAGAAATAAAATAGAAATGCAATACAGATAACTATCGAATAAAACGCTTAAAAGACACACTGAAAACATCTTTGAAAGCATTTCGCATTGACCCGGACATGTGGGGGGACAGTCATCAGGGAATAGAGACTCGTGGCACTCTTCAACAGAGGGGCTCATTGCAATATGAGGCTAAGAGAACAGCTGCTGGGCTCATTGTAGCATGAGGCTGACATTAAAGCTGCTGGGCTCATTGTAACATGAGGCTGACATAACAGCTGCTGGGCTCATTGCAACATGAGGCTGACAGAACAGCTGCTGGGCTCATTGCAACATGAGGCTGACAGAACAGCTGATGGGCACATTGTAACATGAGGCTGACAGAACAGCTGCTGGGCTCATTGTAACATGAGGCTAACAGAACAGCTGCTGGGCTCGGTGCACCCCACAGAGAGACTCAGCCCAGACAACAGGTCCATGTTTAAAATGGTCATGGTCGACCAAATCTCAATTTAACAAGAAAAATAATTTCACAGAGGACCACCTTAACATCAGTTGTTTCCACTTAGGCCCCACAGAAATTAACAAAACAAAATGAGACATAACGGTTTATTTGGAATAACTGACGAGAGTGTTGACGTGTAATCATTAGTGTAATATTGAAATGTAATCGTTAGCGTAATATTGAAATGTAATCGTTAGCGTAATATTGAAATGTAATCGTTAGCGTAATATTGAAATGTAATCGTTAACGTAATATTGAAATGTAATTGTTTGCGTATCAATGAAATGTAACATGTTGCAAAACGAGTCTTCTCATCATACCAGCAAGGCATCAATTTTTATGATTGCATCTTCTTGTGACTCGATATCGACGGAAAAAAACAAACCAACAACATACATGGAATGCAGATAGACCATAAATCAATGCGTGTTTTGATGTCTTGCGTCTAAGACAAAGACATGCAAGCTCAGGGTGTTCTAATGTGTAGTACTTTAAGTTAGACTAAATTAAGTTTTTAATATTGCTTTCTTTATTGTTTCGTTGTTTCGAATGATAAATAATTAAATGAGACTATGTTATACGAATCTTTATTTTTAAAGATTTTTTTTGTTGTAGGATGACTGATAAAATAATAAATAATCATGCTTGCTGTTCGCTAGTTGAAGTCTGTCACGATCAGATTGTGAAGATCAATGTTGTGATTGTAATGCATAATTCAGTTAACAATTTCAACTCGATGTCCACTTGTAGCAGAGGGGTTCAGAACTAATTACAATACTGTACATGCCTAAAACAATAATGTACATGATTAATACAATTGTGTACATGATGATACAATAATGTATAACTAAATTGGGGTATGTTAACTGGTGTTATGTTATCTAGTTGTAGGTTAACTAGTGGTAAGTTAACTGGTGGAAAGGTAACTGATTGATATGTTAGCTGGTGCTAGGCTAAATTGTGGTATGTTAACTAGTGGTAAGTTAAATAGTGGTAAGTTAAATGATTGGTAAGTTAAATGATTGGCATGTTAACTGATTGGTATGCTAACTGGTGGTAAGTCAGCTTATGGTAAGTTAACTAATTGATATGCTAACTAGTGGTTTTTAACTGGTGGTAAGTTAACTGATTAGTATGTTAACATATGTATGTTACCTCGTGGTAAGTTATATAGTGGTATACTAACTGGTGGTAAGTTAACTGGTTGGCATGTTAGCTGAGTGGTATGTTAACTGGAGGTAAGTTAGCTGATTGATATGTTAACTGGTGGTATGTTAACTGGTGGCATGTTAACTGAGTGGTATGTTAACTGGTGATAAGTTAACTGATTGGTATGTTAACTGGTGGTAAGTTAAATAGCGGTATGTTAACTGGTGGTAAGTTAACTGGTTGGCATGTTAACTGAATGGTATGTTAATTGGTGGTAAGTTAACTGATTGGTATGTTAACTGGTGGTATGTTAACTGAGTGGTATGTTAACTGGTAGTAAGTTAAATAGTGGTAAGTTAACTGATTGGTATGTTAACTGATTGGTATGCTAACTGGTGGTAAGTCAGCTGGTTGGTAAGTTAACTAATTGATATGTTAACTAGTGGTTTTTAACTGGTGGTAAGTTAACTGATTAGTATGTTAACTGATGGTATGTTACCTCGTGATAAGTTATATATTGGTATGCTAACTGGTGGTAAGTTAACTGGTGGTAAGTTAACTAGTGGTATTTAACTGGTGGTACGTTAACTGATTGGTATGTTAACTGATGGTATGTTAACTGGTGGTTAGTTAACTGATTGATGTGTTAATTGATTGGTATGTTAACTGGTTGGCATGTTAACTGAGTGGTATATTAACAGGTGGAAAATTAACTGATTGGTATGTTAACTGATTGTATGTTAACTGGTTGTATGTTAACTGGTGGTAAGTTAACTGATTGGTATGTAAACTAATTGGTATGTTAACTGGTGGTATGCTAACTAATGGGTATGTTAACTGATGGTATGTTAACTGAATGGTATGTTACCTGGTGGTATGTTAACTGATTGGTATGTTAACTGGTGGTATGTTAACTAATTGGTATGTTAACTGGGTGTGTGTTACCTGGTGATATTTTACGTGATTGTTTGTTAACTGATAGTATTTTAACTGATGGTATGTTAACTGTTGGTATGTTAACTGATGGTATGTTAACTGATTGGTTTGTTAACTGGTGGTATGTTAAGTGGGTGTGTGTTATCTGGTGATATTTTACCTGATGGTATGTTAACTGAAGGTATGTTAACTTGGTGTGTGTTACATGGTGATATTTTACCTGATGGTATGTTAACTGATTGGTATGTTAACTGGTGGTATGTTAACTGGGTGTGTGTTATCTGGTGATATTTTACCTGATGGTATGTTAACTGAAGGTATGTTAACTTGGTGTGTGTTACATGGTGATATTTTACCTGATGGTATGTTAACTGATGGTATGTTAACTGGTTGTATGTTAACTTATTGGTATGTTAACTCATGGTATGTTAACTGGGTGTGTGTTAACTGTTGATATTTTACCTGATGTTATGTTAACTGATGGTATGTTAGCTGACGGTATGTTAAATGGATTTATCTTACCTGGTGATATTTTACCTGATGGTATGATAACTGATGGTATGTTAACTGGTGGTATATTAACTGATTGGTATGTTAACTGGTGGTATGTTAACTGATTGGTATGTTAGCTAATGGAATGTTAACTGGTAGTATTTTAACTGGTTGGATGTTAACTTGTGGTATTTTACAGGTAGTATGTTAATTGGTTGTATTTTAACAGGATGTATGTTAACTTGTTACATTTTAACTTATTATATGTTAAAAGATTGTATGTTAACTTGTGACATCTTAACTTATTATATGTTAAAAGATTGTATGGTAACTGATGGTATGTAAAATGGGTTTATGTTACCAGATGATTTTTACCTGATTGTATGTTAACTGATGGTATTCTTAACTGGGTGTGTGTTACCTGGTGATATATTACCTGATGGTACGTTACTGATGGTATATTACTGATTATATGCTGGCAGATGCCATGTCAACTGGGTATATATCTACAATTTGCCTGTTAACTGATGGTATTTTTTCATTGGTGGCATGTTGTATGGTTGAATTTTAACAGTTTGTATGTTATCTTGTGGAATGTTAACTGGTTACATGTTTTTTTTTTGTTTTTCTTGTTAACTGTTTGTATAAACATCGTTTCTATGTTAACTGGTGGTATTTTAACCGGTTGTATATAAACCAGCTGTACTCACTGATCCCCATTTGTTTTGTTGGTCTAAGACAGTGATCCCCAAATGGCGTTCCGTGGAACTTCACCGGTCCGCATGCCTAACGCTGCCGGTCCCCATAACATAAATATTTAGTGTCAAATAGAAATGAAAGTATATAAATAAACCATACACCCTACCCATGGTAAAATTTCGAAACTTGTTCACCGGTCCGCCAAACTTAAAAAAGTTTGGGAACCACTGATCTAAGAGATCCCCCTAAAGGGAACACGGCTACGGCCAGCTCACCCTCAAACACGCGTAATGACTTCCTGTACTGTCTCAGCCCCTGTCCACGCACTCCGTCTCCAGCCGTCTCACCACCCACCACCCCACCCCATCACTGACTCCAAACACACATTTTAATTAACCCAGGACGAAAGGAATAGAGACGGGGCGAAAAAGCACCTGAAAGGAGAGGCAAATCAAGATTTCACCCCCACCACCCCACCCCACCACTGACCCCAAACACACATTTTAATTAACCCAGGACGAAAGGAATAGAGACGGGGCGAAAAAGCACCTGAAAGGAGAGGCAAATCAAGATTTCCCCCCCCCCCCCCCGATACATAACTGTAGAGAGTAGCCGAAGGTCTAATTCCGTTGAACAGTGGTATTAGAGATGAGAGCACCCCTAACCATGGCTGACAATACTGAATCCCTTACGGGGGATCGCCACTGTTGCTTTTTGTCATATCTGGTATTTTAAACAGAAACCTGATCTCAACACAGACTCGACACCTTGAGGCGTTCTGATGGCTTGTGAAATGGGTGGCATAATTGACGTCATCGAGGAAAAGCATGCGTGTGTGATCAAGTTTGGAACATGAATGTTTTGAGTTAAGGATTTGCTCTTGGGTATTTCCTTCCCCTAAAGTAATATTGTCAATTAGAGGAAAATTGATGTAAATATTATACCAGATTAGTTCATTGGGAAGTTTAAGGAATATGACAAGAGTTTAAGATTCTCTTTCGGCCTATAAAGTACTGAAAAGATTTGGTGAACATTTAGTGAGCATTCGATGAACATTTGGTGAATGTTAAAGTTGAGAATCTCTTAGAGGCCGTCCTGGTAGGATCATGCCTGTTGGCCGGCTGAGGGGGGGGGGGCACGCGGTATCTGGTGGCTGGACCAAGTGTCCGTGTCTAACAAGCTAACGGGGGTTGCGTTTAACTGGGTAAGTGTAACTATTAGTGGTAGTGAAATATCCTACATTAGAGAAAACAAAGTCCCTTAAGTCAGTCATGAACGAATATAACGTATTTGCTATGAATAAAAATAACCCACCACCCCCACCCCCCCCCCGATTTTTCTTTTTTTTATTTAGTGTCATATATTTTCTAAGCGTCTTCTTGCTTATGCTCTTTAAGACTCAAATATGTNATAGTGTCATATATTTTCTAAGCGTCTTCTTGCTTATGCTCTTTAAGACTCAAATATGTAAATCATGGCTTCTTCCTCCAACATGATGGTCCCCACCATTTGTTACATGATGGTCCCCACCATTTGTTACATGATGGTCCCCACCATTTGTTACATGATGGTCCCCACCATTTGTTACATGATGGTCCCCACCATTTGTTACAAGATGGTCCCCACCATTTGTTACATGATGGTCCCCACCATTTGTTACACGATGGTCCCCACCATTTGTTACATGATGGTCCACACCATTTGTTACATGATAGTCCCCACCATTTGTTAACTCTCGAGATTTGAATTTAGCGGGGACCCTTTTACATAAGATCCCTATTAGAAAAAAAAATCAACAACCCCCCGACCCCCCGACCCCTTAAAATACTGCCTAGACTAAAAATATTTTTTTGCAATTAAATAAAAACAAATTTCCATTAATTTGGATCAATGAAGAATCTTATGTTATCTTATCTTATATTATTTATCTTATCTTATATTATTTTACCCCATCATTCATCGTAATAAACAAATGCAGTCCGAGACCCACCTTCATTTTCTCCTTGTCCATTCTCTCCCTGTGGCTGTTGTGTATCATGTTATCCACAGGTGTCCCTTTACTGGATATGGATTTGGTACTACTGCATCTGGAGGTGTGGTTGGGATAGGCAGGATAGGACATGGTGCCCCTGAAACAAAGCAAGATTGGGTTGAGGCAGGATAGGACATGGTGCCCCTGAAACAAAGTAAGATTGGGTTGAGGCAGGATAGAACATGGTGCACCTGAAACAAAGTAAGGTTGGGTTTAGGCAGGATAGAACATGGTGAACTGAAACAAAGTAAGATTGGGTTGAGGCAGGATAGGACATGGTGCCCCTGAAACAAAGTAAGATTGGGTTGAAGCAGGATAGGACATGGTGCCCTTGAAACAAAATAAGATTGGGCTGAGGCAGGATAGGACATGGTGCCCCTGAACAAAGTAAGATTGGGTTTACGCAGGATAGGACATGGTGCCCCTGAAACAAAGTAAGATTGGGTTGAGGCAGGATAGGGCATGGTGCCCCTGAAACAAAATAAGATTGGGATAAGGCATGATAGGGATGGTGCCCCTGAAACAAAGTAAGATTGGGTTTAGGCAGGATAGGACATGGTGCCCCTGAAACAAAGTAAGATTGGGTTGAGGCAGTACAGGGCATCGTGCCCTAAAAATTGACTGATGGCCAAGTCAAACGCGACCTTACCTTAGAAATATCAAGGTCTCTGTATAACAACTCTCAGTTGTCTGTGAAACACATCTCAGGTCTCTGTATAACAACTCTCAGGAGTCAGTGCAACACATCTCAGGTCTCTGTATAACAACTCTCAGGTGTCTGTGCAACACATCTCAGGTCTCTGTATAACAACTCTGAGGTGTCAGTGCAACACATCGCTGGTCTCTGTATAACAACTCTCAGGTGACTGTGCAACACATCTCAGGTCTCTGTATAACAACTCTCAGGTGTCAGTGCAACACATCTCAGGTCTCTGTATAACAACTCTCAGGTCTCTGTATAACAAATCTCAGGTCTCTGTATAACAACTCTCAGGTGTCAGTGCAACACATCTCAGGTCTCTGTATAACAACTCTCAGGTTCTGTGCAACACATCTCAGGTCTCTGGGCAACATATCCCAGGTCTCTATGCAGCACATCTCAGGTCTCTGTGCAGCACATCTCAGGTCTCTGTATAACTAATCTCAGGTGTCTGTGAGTTTTATCTATGTAACAAACATTAGCTCTCCTTAAGATTAATGTGTCCGTCAGATAAACCTGGCTCAACAAAAATCAACTCTCGGGGATAAATTGAAACTAGTTTTACTTTTTACTCAGAGATGTTGATGATTTGATAAACAATCAAAAATAAACATCATAATAAGAAACCAATGTTTATTTAAAAAAAACAACAACCAACAGTTAAATGCATTGGTTAAAAAATAACGGTTAGGAAAAAAACAACTAGGTTAACCTATTTAACCCCGCATATCTTAGTACTGTGATTGCTTTACCTAGAGGTTTAATTATTTTTTGTCCACAAACACTAACCCATTATTAGGAAAAAAGACTGGTCTAGTTCCATCACCTGGGTATATAGGCTGGAGTTAATTGAACTAGTTCTAGGGACGTTACCAGCGCCAAGAGCTCATTAAGGAAACCTTTCATGAATGCAATCTGCAAGTCCAGGCCGGAGGGAGCCATAGCAAGAAATAGGCAAACATGATTAGAAGAAAAAAACGACATACGTCATTGCTCTTAATTCAAGTCAAAGAGAACAAAGGAAACGTAATTTACTTAAGTCAATTAACTCCCTTTGTGTATGCCTTTTTAAAAAAAGACAACATTTAAACATACTTATTTTGTTAAATTAGAGGAATGCTTCCATTTGTGTTTCCAATTCAGCAAACGCTTACCAAAAAACAAAAAAAAAAAAAAAAAAAAAAAAAAAAAAAAAAAAAAACAACTCCATTCGTGCACTAACACAGGTCGCTACACACACATAACACAAGTCGATTATCACACATAACACAGGTCGCTACACACACATAACACAAGTCGATAATCACACATATCACACGCCGATACTCATTCATAACCATGGCCGATACTCACACATAACCCTGGCCGATACTCACACATAACACAGGCCGATACTCACACATAAAACAGGCCGATACTCACACATAACACAGGCCGATACTCACACATAACACAGGCCGATACTCACACATAACTCAGGCCGATACTCACACATAACACAGGCCGATACTCACACATCACACATGCCGATTCTCACCCATAACACATGCCGATACTCACACATCACACATGCCGATTCTCACCCATAAAACATACCGATACTCACACATAACACATGCCGATACTCACACATAACACATGCCGATACTCACACATACACTGGCCGATACTCACACATAACACAGGCCGATACTCACACATCAAACATGCCGATTCTCACCCATAACACATACCGATACTCACACATAACACATGCCGATACTCACACATAACACAGGCCAATACGCACACATAACACAGGCCGATACTCACACATAACACAGGCCGATACTCACACATAACACATGCCGATACTCACACATAATACAGGCCGATACTCACACATAACACAGGCCACTACGCACACATAACACAGGCCACTACGCACACATAACACAGGCCACTACGCACACATAACACAGGCCACTACGCACACATAACACAGGCCACTACGCACACATAACACAGGGGGGGGCACTGCATACTTCCACTAAGAGGGACTATCTTTTTGTTGAATCTTGTCATGGACAATAAAGAACTGTAACTGCGCTATATCCTGTAGTGCAGTGGTTGCCAACCTGTAGCCACCCCGCGCCCACCCTTATGACCCCGCGTGCACTAGTCAGGGGCTCCCCGAAAGCTCAAGGAAATAAATAGAAAATTAAAAAAAACAAAAAACTTAGAAGACATTGGGTCGGCCCAAGGATATGAATTGGTTTAACAAATAGGCTCTGCCAATCAAAAAGGTTGGGAACCATTATTGTCTTGGTGGGAAAATACAATGGATCTTGTAGTGGATAAAACTATGCTATATCTTGTTGAGATGACATTATGCTACATCCTGCATTGCAGCGGTTCCCAAGCCGTGGAACGCGTATACCCTTGAGAAACGCACAAATTATGCGGATAATGGCGGAAACTGAATTTTATAAAATTTTTACACATGTTCATGTATGAGAAGCTATATTTAAAAATTTAGCCGCATAAAAAGAACCCATTTCATTTACAAAATGTTATTTCGAAAAAAAGTTAACCTAATAATTTGGTGTTCTCATTACTTTATGGTGTTCTCATTACTTTATGGTGTTCTCATTACTTTATGGTGTTCTCATTACTTTATGTTGTTCTCATTACTTTATTGTTTTCTCATTACCTTATGGTGTTCTCATTACCTTATGGTGTTCTCATTACCTTATGGTGTTCTCATTACTTTATTGTTTTCTCATTACTTTATGGTGTTCTCATTACCTTATGGTGTTCTCATTACTTTATTGTTTTCTCATTACCTTATGGTGTTCTCATTACCTTATGGTGTTCTCATTACCTTATGGTGTTCTCATTACTTTATTGTTTTCTCATTACTTTATTGTTTTCTCATTACTTTATGGTGTTCTCATTACTCAAGTCCGATGTTGAAACGTTTTTAATGCTTTTTGTGTTTTCCCTTCTTCAATGTTCTGGCTTAAAGTTCTATTGCAATGTTAAAATTCTTCATATTCATTTAGCTTTTGTTCGTGTGTTTCTGGCTGGAAAAATCTTTGTACGGTTAATTGCCCCCCACTTCCCGTCAACCCATCGAGCTGAAACGTTTCACATGGACTCGTTGCCGATGACAACACATTCTATCACATGTAAAGCCCCACCTCCAAAAATCAGTTTTCCCCCTTTTTTTTTTTTCAGGGGAAAGATTAGGGACATAGGATGCTACTAATTTCACGAAATAAAATTCCCGATAACTGCGCTAAATGAAATTCTTTTTTAAAAATTTATTTATTTTTAAAATTTAAATATCGCAAGTGCGTTTGGTGCGTAATGTTTAATTAAAAAATTTTTTTTTATAGTTGAAATAGTTGGTGGAATACATCTTCGGTGTAAAAGAGGGTGGGTGAAATATTAATATCAAATAAAATAAAAAATGCATAGAAAGGATTTATGCGAAAAACTTTTTTACTACAGCGGTCGTTGAATTATTGATCAGATTCTTTTTAAATTAATGTATGTAAGAAAACATGGAAGCGGAAATAAGTTTTAAAATAGAAAAATAAAAGCCTATGACGTCATTAGCTTTATATAATTCATTTGATTATTTAGCTGATCCATTTCTATACCGTTGCAAAGATGCCAGTACATGGGTGTAGCAACGAAACATTACCAGAACCAGAACCAGTTATACTTTGTTAGGGATGAGCTAGGTTTAGAAAAGAAAAGGGAGGGGGGAGGGATACTTATTAAATGAAAAGTCTTATCAAGGGTTACGACATTTAAAAAATAGTGTTGGGAACCGCTGTTGTAGTGGATGAAATCTAAGAAGTTCTGAATGAGAATTAAAGAGCTCAGAAATATCCGATTTCTGGTTTAAATTATGGCTTAGGTTAACCCCTTCAATAACGCCCCCGGATTTTAAAGCTTTGGTTAACTGCCTTATTAACGCCCCTGTATTTTAAAGCTTAGGTTAACTGCCTTATTAACGCCCCTGTATTTTAAAGCTTAGGTTAATCGCTTTATTAACGCCCCTGTATTTTAAAGCTTTGGTTAACTGCCTTATTAACGCCCCTGTATTTTAAAGCTTAGGTTAACTGCCTTATTAACGCCCCTGAATTTTAAAGCTTAGGTTAATCGCTTTATTAACGCCCCTGTATTTTAAAGCTTTGGTTAACTGCCTTATTAACGCCCCTGAATTTTAAAGCTTAGGTTAACTGCCTTATTAACGCCCCTGAATTTTAAAGCTTAGGTTAACTGCCTTATTAACGCCCCTGAATTTTAAAGCTTAGGTTAACTGCCTTATTAACGCCCCTGAATTTTAAAGCTTAGGTTAATCGCTTTATTAACGCCCCTGTATTTTAAAGCTTTGGTTAACTGCCTTATTAACGCCCCTGTATTTTAAAGCTTAGGTTAACTGCCTTATTAACGCCCCTGAATTTTAAAGCTTAGGTTAATCGCTTTATTAACGCCCCTGTATTTTAAAGCTTTGGTTAACTGCCTTATTAACGCCCCTGAATTTTAAAGCTTAGGTTAACTGCCTTATTAACGCCCCTGAATTTTAAAGCTTAGGTTAACTGCCTTATTAACGCCCCTGAATTTTAAAGCTTAGGTTAACTGCCTTATTAACGCCCCTGAATTTTAAAGCTTAGGTTAACTGCCTTATTAACGCCCCTGAATTTTAAAGCTTAGGTTAACTGCCTTATTAACGCCCCTGTATTTTAAAGCTTAGGTTAACTGCCTTATTAACGCCCCTGAATTTTAAAGCTTAGGTTAACTGCCTTATTAACGCCCCTGAATTTTAAAGCTTAGGTTAATCGCTTTATTAACGCCCCTGTATTTTAAAGCTTTGGTTAACTGCCTTATTAACGCCCCTGTATTTTAAAGCTTAGGTTAACTGCCTTATTAACGCCCCTGTATTTTAAAGCTTTGGTTAACTGCCTTATTAACGCCCCTGAATTTTAAAGCTTAGGTTAATCGCTTTATTAACGCCCCTGAATTTTAAAGCTTTGGTTAACGGCCACAGGAGTCGGTTAATGTCTTTGATCACTGAGCGATTCAAGACGTTAATGTACGCGTGCATTGGTGTCAGGCATTTAAAGGGCGTATTCTCTAAACTGTGGTACACTGGTGGCCATCTATTATCTACACTGTGGTACACTGGTGGCCATCTATTCTCTAAACTGTGATACACTGGTGACCATCTATTCTCTAAACTGTGATACACTGGTGACCATCTATTCTTTAAACTGTGGTACACTGGTAGCCATCTATTCTCTAAACTGTGGTACACTGGTGACCATCTATTCTTTAAACTGTGGTACACTGGTAGCCATCTATTCTCTAAACTGTGATACACTGGTGACCATCTATTCTTTAAACTGTGATACACTGGTGACCATCTATTCTTTAAACTGTGATACACTGGTAGCCATCTATTCTTTAAACTGCGGTACACTGATGACCATCTATTCTTTAAACTGTGGTACACTGGTAGCCATCTATTCTCTAAACTGTGGTACACTGATGACCATCTATTCTTTAAACTGTGGTACACTGGTAGCCATCTATTCTCTAAACTGTGGTACACTGGTGACCATCTATTCTTTAAACTGTTGTACACTGGTGACCATCTATTCTTTAAACTGTGGTACACTGGTGTCCATCTATTCTCTAAACTGGTGGTATCTCTTCTCTAAACTGTGGTACACTGGTGGCCATAGTTACCAAGTTTGTAACGTACTGCGTTAAGACACTATTGACTATTGTTTAAAATAGTTACAGTACATGTTATGAAAATTCTGTTTTGTACACTGAGTAACTATTTAGAGGCCTTACCTACAAGTTAAAGTCTTTTATTTAGTTATACGCACCGTGTACTTGTAGCCTGCCGCCAGAATTTCGTCCCCCGTGAAAGCGCCAGGCAGATGGTCGTGTAGGAGACGATCATGACGCACACCGGCACCATGAAGAGAAGTAAGAGCATGTATGACTCGAACAGTATCCCATAGATGGGCCTGTCCCAGTCCTTGATACACCAGTAGGCCTTGAATACCTTGCCCACCTCCTTGTGTGTCTGAAGGGAAAATATGGTGAAGACATTAAAGCCGAAAAGAAAATTGTGATGTACTTTTAAAATTAAATAATCTATTTGACAAGAATTGTGATGTACTTTTAAAAATTGAAGAATTTATTTGACAAGAATTGTGATGTACTTTTAAAAATTGAAGAATTTATTTGACAAGAATTGTGATGTACTTTTAAAAAATTGAAGAATTTATTTGACAAGAATTGTGATGTACTTTTAAAAAATTGAAGAATTTATTTGACAAGAATTGTGACTTATGACTAAACTTCCACAGTCGTATCAACGCTGCCCCCTCCCACTTTGGGATCAAGCCGTGTGGACGCAGCCGTAGCAACACTTTCCCTTTTGACGGCCAGACTCAACACATACGTTTCCCTAAGGGCAGTTTTCAGATACGCGACGGTTTCCTTTGTACAAGCCGCAATGTTGTCTACGCCGGTGTCTGCACCCGCTATCAGATGACGTACATAGGGGAGACTGGACGCCGTCTCTCTGACTGGTTTACTGAACACCTCCGTAATATTACACAAGATAAACAATGCCCCGCGTCCAAACACTTCAACAGTAGCGACCACCAGGGACAGACGGACTTTTCAATAACTGCGATCGTGGCTAGCACGAACACACCCAGCCGGGTCAATTTGGAACACAGGCTTATCCTGACTTACGGCACTTTTACGCCACATGGGATGAATGTCATGTCTCTCTTCACAGCTTGACCCTAGCTCCGCCCCTCATGTCCTGACCTATCGCAGTGGACTTTTTCTCCTCTTTTCTTTCGCTCTTCCCTATTTTATCTCTCACTCACTTTCTGTCACATTTCTTTTGCTACCCACGGATACTACTTCTAAGCTAAGTGCTTTTTCTTATATTTATTATTATACCGTTTTTTTCTGTTGTTTTGTTCGCTGACGAAGGCTTTCTGCCGACACGTCCGTTGTTTTGTTGCGTTCCTTTTTTTCAGGTTCAACCCTACTCTGTGTTACTCACTTTATAAAGTTCCACTGACGGACAATAAAGAAACACACCATTTACTAAATCAGGCAATTTGTTTTAGTTAAGACCAGAAAGTCGGAATCGAGCAACAAAATCATAGCTTAGTCTACCAATCTTTTATTTCATAACAATGTCCAAGGTTCTTATGCATGCTCTTCAAATGAGAGAAAATGAACAAGCGATAAAAACATCAACGTTGTTGGCCTGAAGTTTGTATCGAGTTTACATACAGCGTCGAAAGAAATACAATTGTAAAAATCCAAACTCCGTTAAAAATGTGTCACTCAAGTTTTGAGTCTCTGAATCTGACCTCTAAGACTACGGAAAAGAAAATTTCTCTATCCATCTACTAGTCAATGCATTACATTTTGTTTCCTCATTGAGGTAATTGTACTGCACTACAAGTCTAAATAGATGACATAGTTTGGTCACTACTTGCACTGTACGCCATAAATCACGGTTAAAAAGAAAGAAAAAAAGTAGACGGGAGAAAAGTAAACGCAGAGAGGGAGAGACAAATATCAATATAATATGAATATGAAGAAATGATGAGTATGAAGAAGTGCTAAAGAACTAAAAAGTTTGCATTGTGGAGTCGAACCAACAGTTAAGGTAGTGACAGTGGCTCCAGGAACGATAACTTGCAAATTACCCCATATTCTCAGTCTTCCAACATAAGAGTCGTCAGATATTTTCTGTTTTTGGATGTTGATGAAAATAAATTGACCAAATAGCGTGACCGAATAGTGTGACCGAATAGTGTGACCGAATAGTCTGACCGAATAGTCTGACCGAATAGTCTGACCGAATAGTCTGACCGAATGATCTGACCGAATAGTCTGACCAAATAGTCTGACCAAATGGTCTGACCGAATAGTCTGACCGAATGGTCTGACCAAATGGTCTGACCGAATAGTCTGACCAAATGGTCTGACCAAATAGTCGGACACAAATGACTTGGGCGGGGTTTAACAACGGCGCTCTATTGTTCCTTCAGGTGAGTCATAGGCTGGACGGGTATTGTTGTGATTTTATCAAGTGTTCTTTCGATAATGTTGTCAGTGAGCAATAATAGATTTTGGTTCGGAAGTTCCCTTTGTATGACACCACGTGTATTAAATGATGAATGAGATGCGGGCCAATTTCCGGGGAGAAGAGAGATAGTTTGTTTTTAAGCGTTGGAGATCAATGGATGTTAATTCTTAAGTGACAGATTTAGTGTTAATAACTGTAATTCAAAGATGGACTTTGGGACAGGCAAGTAGCGAAGTGTTAACAGTTAAATAGTCTAGAAATTCATAGCGTTAGAGATTCGTATAGAAAGCTGACAATCAGTGAGCATTTTCATCATCTGGACACCTGGAGTTTGAGTTGTTTAGTGTTCGTTCAGGTCTACTTTGTGCTTTGTCTGTCCTAAAGACTAGATACTAAAAATTTAGATCACAGAGAGGAACGGTCCTGTACTGACCACTTCTAAATTAACATAGTTTGTGATAAGTCAGGACAGGAGCCCTGCCTCGGAACAACCGTTCTGTGACATGGTCTGACCGAATAGTCTTACCGAATAGTCTGACCGAATAGTCTGACCGAATAGTCTGACCGAAAAGTCTGACCGAATAGTCTGACCGAATAGTCTGACCGAAAGGTCTGACCGAATAGTCTGACCAAATAGTCTGACCGAAAAGTTTGCCAATACTAAACGTTACCTGAATTGGTGTGTCAATTTTGGCTGTTAAAAAATGGGTGAATTTAAACCATTACAAATTGGTTAGAAATTTTAAAGAGTAAACATGTGTTTTAGTTTCAAGTGTCGTAATGAAGTAAACCTTGGTTCGGGAATGCATTCTATTTAGCAAGGAATACTGAAGAATATCTAAATGTCTCTAGTAATAAAATTATTATTGATTAGGTTTTTGTTCTTACTAATTGTAATTTAGCATATTTGTATTTAATTACTGAGTTATGTGTGGATAATAATGATTTTATTGAGAAATTTTCTTTTCCGACCCACGGAATAACATTTTTACTAGCACCCAGGTTTAACATTTTGTGTGTGTTATTCACGGTTTTAGATTATGCATCTTCAGTCTGGGACCCATTTACCCAGAAGAGCATTGACAGGTTGGAGGCGGTCCAGCGACGGGCGCACGCTTTGTCCTGAACCGATACAGGAATACCTCTAGTGTTGGCATCATGCTGGAAACACTGGGCTGGTCACCATTGGAGGAACGACGACAATCCAGGCTCTCCATGATGTGCAAGATAAATCATGGGCTGGTCCACTAAACAGAAACTCGTCCCTCTCCCCCATAGACAGCAACGAGGCCATGACAGGCTATTCCGGCTCATACCAGCAATAAGCCAGTATAGAAACTGCTCATTCCTGCCCAAGACAATCAGGGAATCAAACAAGCTTTCAAAAGGAACTGTTGAGGCCACAACACTAGACACATTTGCGTCTATTGCCTCAAGCCTTCCAGCCCCCAGTGCATGATTCCCTCACAAAGTAGCACTTGCAGCCAGTGATATATCCTCGTCAACACCAGGCACAGAAACATTGCAAATCCCCTCTACATGCATAGGAGCCAAAATGATCAAAATTGATCGTGGGTCCTTAATATATAGGAGAAGAAGAAGAAATATTTTAACAGCTGAACAAAAATATTCCATTAACCATTGTTTTACATTTCAGTCAAACCCTGTAACATCACATGCTCTTGGTATCAAATACATAGTTCTCTATGTAAAATGTCACAAACGCCACCAGGTGGCGCTGATTTCACTAAATAAAGATCCTGACAACTGAGCTCAATGAGATTCGTAACAACAGCCCCAGTGTGTGCGGCGGTGCGTAATGTTTTCTTTTGTTTGACGGAAATTGTCTCAATTTAAATATGGTACCCTGACATGTCCTGACGTCTGCGTTATAAAAAGGGGGTAGCACATTTGCTTTTAATATTGTTCAGGGGCCTGAAAAAAAGTATGTGGTTGTGAACAGGGGTGGGGGAGGGTTGAGGGATGACTGTAATTGGCCATTTTATAAAAGGCGTAAGCAGAATGCATCTTTAGTCAAGCAACTTGAGTAGATGGGAAGTCCACGCATTGTGGTCGCCAAAGTTTGGCGGGCCGCGGGTGATCGCTGGTGTTTACTAATGTGGTACGATAAGTATAACGCCTCTAGACACTCGCTGTATTCATGAGAATGGGAGCACACGGCTTTTATGAATTTGTGAGCTTTTGAGCGATGGTAACTCGGGCGATTGACGCCAGCTGTGGCCCACGACGGGAATATCGACACGCCAAGCTAAAACATGGCCATATTGTCACAGGAAATGAAAATATTTTGAAATATTTGTGAATCGGTTCGTTTAAAGTTCGGTGAAAGTGCAGTAAAAAGGACTTACCAGTTTTGAGCCATCAAATTGAAAGACATCAAATAAATCTTGTAATACACGTGTGCAAATATTACCGTCGAGTTAGCAGGCATTTTATACAACTCGCCATCTAGTAAACATGTTTTGTTTCGATGAGTCATATGGCCGAGTTTATTCCCATGGAGACCTGGCCGTGATCTTGCCATTCCTCATTAAGATGGCAGGAACATTTAAACATCATTTCACATTTTCGTTGTTGTTGTTTTTTTCCTTTCTGAATCATTAAATTTATTTGTCAATAGTCTTCTTGCATTGATTTTCTGACCAGAAATAATGGGAGTTTAATATCGTGATGGGGCTGCCGTAGAGAGACAGGGACGGGGGAATACCGTCCCTCCCCCGGCCTTCAAACCAGGAGACCACAATGACCACGTGAAAGACCCGTGGGTATCTTTTCAGTGGAACAGATTAAGCCGTTTGAGTGATTAAAGGCATCAAGTTTGATTTTTTTTCTATTGGTTGTTTTCCCATTGTTTCTATTTATATCCCTAAATACACATCTCCTTTCATGTAATCCTGTAATTCTTAATGAGAGTATTTAACTAATATCTTCCGTGATTGTGTAAAGATGTATTTTGTGATTGTTTAAAGATGTATTTTGTGATTGTGTAAAGATGTATTTTGTGATTGTTTAAAGATGTATTTTGTGATTTTTATAAAGATGTATTTTGTGAGTGTTTAAAGATGTATTTTGTGATTGCTTAAAGATGCATTTCGTGATTATTTAACGATATATTTCATGATTGTTTAAATTGTATTTTATAATTGTTTAAAGATGTATTTCCTGATTGCTAAAGATATATTTTGTGATTGTTTAAAGATGTATTTTGTAATTGTTTAAAGATGTATTTTGTGATTGTTTAAAGATGTATTTTGTGATTGTTTAAAGATGTATTTTGTGATTGTTTAAAGATATATTTTGTGATTGTTTAAAGATGTATTTTGTGATTGTTTAAAGATGTATTTTGTGATTGTTTAAAGATGTATTTTGTGATTGTTTAAAGATATATTTTGTGATTGTTTAAAGATGTATTTTGTGATTGTTTAAAGATGTATTTTGTGATTGTTTAAAGATATATTTTGTGATTATTTAACGATATATTTCATGATTGTTTAAATTGTATTTTATAATTGTTTAAAGATGTATTTCCTGATTGCTAAAGATGTATTTTGTGATTGTTTAAAGATGTATTTTGTAATTGTTTAAAGATGTATTTTGTGATTGTTTAAAGATGTATTTTGTGATTGTTTAAAGATGTATTTTGTGATTGTTTAAAGATATATTTTGTGATTGTTTAAAGATGTATTTTGTGATTGTTTAAAGATGTATTTTGTGATTGTTTAAAGATGTATTTTGTGATTGTTTAAAGATATATTTTGTGATTGTTTAAAGATGTATTTTGTGATTGTTTAAAGATGTATTTTGTGATTGTTTAAAGATATATTTTGTGATTATTTAACGATATATTTCATGATTGTTTAAATTGTATTTTATAATTGTTTAAAGATGTATTTCCTGATTGCTAAAGATGTATTTTGTGATTGTTTAAAGATGTATTTTGTGATTGTTTAAAGATGTATTTTGTGATTGTTTAAAGATATATTTTGTGATTGTTTAAAGATGTATTTTGTGATTGTTTAAAGATATATTTTGTGATTGTTTAAAGATATATTTTGTGATTGTTTAAAGATGTATTTTGTGATTGTTTAAAGATGTATTTTGTGATTGTTTAAAGATATATTTTGTGATTATTTAACGATATATTTCATGATTGTTTAAATTGTATTTTATAATTGTTTAAAGATGTATTTCCTGATTGCTAAAGATGTATTTTGTGATTGTTTAAAGATGTATTTTGTAATTGTTTAAAGATGTATTTTGTGATTGTTTAAAGATGTATTTTGTGATTGTTTAAAGATGTATTTTGTGATTGTTTAAAGATATATTTTGTGATTGTTTAAAGATATATTTTGTGATTGTTTAAAGATGTATTTTGTGATTGTTTAAAGATGTATTTTGTGATTGTTTAAAGATATATTTTGTGATTGTTTAAAGATGTATTTTGTGATTGTTTAAAGATATATTTTGTGATTGTTTAAAGATATATTTTGTGATTGTTTAAAGAAAGACTTGGATAAGAAAAAGGCGGATGGTAACGTTGAAAGAAAACATTGAATGTTCAGCTGATAGAACAATTGGATGGGCGAATGTCCAAATGAATGCGGGAAGCGAGCGAGGGACACGAGACTATGGGGCAGAGCTATGGGGCAGAGCAAGGGGAATATGGTAAAGGGGTAGGAAAAGGCGATAGGAAAGGGGGGATGGAAAAGGGGGTGGGTAGAGGGAAAAAGGAAAAGGCGGCGCAAAGGGGGATGGAAAAGGGGAATGGAAAAGGGGATGGAAAAGGGGGGATGAAAAAGGGGGAATACAAACATTTAGAAGGAAAAATGTGTAGAGAGATGTATTGGAAAGAACGAAGTGACGGACTTAGAGCCAAATGAATGAAAAGAACGGTGAATAGAGATAACAAATTTATGTGCCAGAGACTTAATAAAAAACATGGATGTCAAGGGTTAGTGAACTTTATCACAAATAATGTTTGGCTGTGAAGAACATCGTTAACGCCCTGTCTTCCTCTAATCAGACATGCCCTGACGTCCTCTAGTCAGACACGCCCTGACGTTCTCTAGTCAGACAAGCCCTGACGTCCTCTAGTCAGACATGCCCTGACGTCCCCTAGCCAGACAAGTCCTGAAGTCCTCTAGCCAGACAAGCCCTAATCTCCTCTAGTCATATAAGCCTTGACGTCCTCTAGCCAGACAAGTCCTGACGTCCTTTAGTCAGACAAGTCCTTACGTCCTTTAGTCGTACAAGCCCTGACGTCCTCTAGCCAGACAAGCCCTGACGTCCTCTAGCCAAACAAGATCTGAGGTCCTCTAGCCAGACAAGCCCCTACGTCCTCTTGCCAGACAAGTCCTGACGTCCTCTAGCCAGACAAGTCCTGACGTCCTTTAGTCAGACAAGTCCTTACGTCCTTTAGTCAGACAAGTCCTTACGTCCTTTAGTCATACAAGCCCTGACGTCCTCTAGCCAGACAAGCCCTGACGTCCTCTAGCCAAACAAGATCTGGCGTCCTCTAGCCAGACAAGTCCTTACGTCCTTTAGTCATACAAGCCCTGACGTCCTCTAGCCAGACAAGCCCTGACGTCCTCTAGCCAAACAAGATCTGACGTCCTCTAGCCAGACAAGTCCTGACGTCCTCTAGCCAGACAAGTCCTGACGTCCTTTAGTCAGACAAGCTCTGACGTCTTCTAGTCAGAAATGTCTTGACGTTCTCTAGGCAGACAAGTCCTGACGTCCTCTAGCCAGAGTAAACTACAGGACATTCCCTAAGTAACGAATGGAGTAGTTACAATGGTATAATCAAATTATCTGAAACTGGTGGCTTCTAAAAATCGGTAATGTTTGAATATCTGTAAAAGTTTTAATGTGATTTTGACGTTCTTAAGTTCATAGAATGCTCACACTTGAACATAACAGTTAAACATTATGTAAAGGTTCTTAAAATTAAAATATATTGCATTGCAATTTTTTGAAAACGACATATGTTATAGAAATAAATTAATCATGAAAAAAAAAATATCTAGATATGACGTTAGGGGATTTTAGAGTTGAGCTGGTAAATAAATACATATTACCGGTCTGAATGGCTCAACTTATAGATCATCATTACAAGGCTGCATGTTCAGACTGAGTGGTTCATCGTCATCAACATTAAAAGACTGCATGTTCTGACTGAAGGGTTTAACTTCATCAACAATACAAGGCTGCATGTTCTGACTGAGTGGCTCAACTACATCAACAATACAAGACTGCATGGTCTGGCTGAGTAGCTCAACTACAACAAGAGTACAAGGCTGCATATTCTTGCAGAGTGGCTCAACTACATCAAGATTACAAGGCTGCATGTTCTGGCTGAGTGGCTCAACTACATCAACATTACAAGGCTGGATGTTCTGGCTGAGTGGCTCAACTACATCAACATTACAAGGCTGCTTGTTTTGGCTGAGTGGCTCAACTACATCAACATCACAAGGCTGCATGTTCTGGCTGAGTGGCTCAACTACATCAACATTACAAGGCTGCATGTTCTGGCTGAGTGGCTCAACTACATCAACATTACAAGGCTGCATGTTCTGGCTGAGTGTCTCATCTACTTCAACATTACAAGGCTGCATGTTCTGGCTGAGTGGCTCAACTACATCAACATTACAAGGCTGCATGTTCTGGCTGAGTGGCTCAACTACATCAACATTACAAGGCTGCATGTTCTGGCTGAGTGGCTCAACTACATCAACATTACAAGGCTGCATGTTCTGACTGAGTGTCTCAACTACATCAACATTACAAGGCTGCTTGTTTTGGCTGAGTGGCTTAACTACATCAACATTACAAGGCTGCATGTTCTGGCTGAGTGGCTCAACTACATCAACATTACAAGGCTGCATGTTCTGACTGAGTGGCTCAACTACATCAACATTACAAGGCTGCATGTTCTGGCTGAGTGGCTCAACTACATCAACATTACAAGGCTGCTTGTTCTGGCTGAGTGTCTCAACTACATCAACATTACAAGGCTGCTTGTTTTGGCTGAGTGGCTCAACTACATCAACATTACAAGGCTGCATGTTCTGGCTGAGTGGCTCAACTACATCAACATTACAAGGCTGCTTGTTTTGGCTGAGTGGCTCAACTACATCAACATTACAAGGCTGCATGTTCTGACTGAGTGGCTCAACTACACCACAATTACAAGGCTGCATGTTCTGGCTGAGTGGCTCAAATACATCAACATTACAAGGCTGCATGTTCTGGCTGAGTGGCTCAACTACATCAACATTACAAGGCTGAATGTTCTGGTTGAGTGTCTCAACTACATTAACATTACAAGGCTGCTTGTTCTGGCTGAGTGTCTCAACTACATCAACATTACAAGGCTGCATGTTCTGACTGAGTGAATTACAAGGCTGCATGTTCTGACTGAGTGGCTCAACTACATCAACAGCACAAGGCTGCATGTTCTGGCTAAGTGTCTCAACTACATCAAAATTACAAGGCTGCATGTTCTGACTGAGTGGCTAAACTACATCACAATTACAAGGCTGCATATTCTTGCAGAGTGGCTCAACTACATCAAGATTACAAGGCTGCATGTTCTGACTGAGTGGCTAAACTACATCAAAATTACAAGGCTGCATGTTCTGACTGAGTGGCTAAACTACATCAAAATTACAAGGCTGCATGTTCTGACTGAGTGGCTAAACTACATCAAAATTACAAGGCTGCATGTTCTGACTGAGTGGCTCAACTACATCAACAGCACAAGGCTGCATCTTCTGGCTGAGTTGCTCAACTACATCAAGAGTACAAGGCTTTACCTTGAGTCTTTCCCAAACTAGATGGTGATCAGATGTAACACCACCTTTTTGTTCGCTGACATCTTGCAGAGACCTTCTGAATTGTTAGCTTATGCATACATGATCAATTTAGTTTAGTGTTCTTTTATCAGGGGACACCCAATTTACCTTGTGGATATTTTAATGCAACAATTCGCTTCCACAAATAATGAGCTCATTTGCTGCGCAGAAATCTGACAGCCTTTCACCGTTCTCATTTCTCTCTCCTATAACATAGCGCCCCATATTTTTTTCATACCACTGTTTTCTTTTACACTCTAAGCATTTAGAAATCCCATTATGATATTTAGATCTCTACCGGGATATTTTTCCAGTATGAATTATAGTCTTTTGTAGAAAGCTTCTTTTCATCTTCCTTACATCTTTGGTGTTTGCATAGCACTGTATTACATTCATATTTAATTTCTTCTTCTTTATTCGAAAATTTGCTGTAATGAATTCTTGGACTATGGACTTCCCATCCTATCAATGCCTCTTATGCCACCCGTTTCATCATGAACGCGACTCAGTGTGTGTAAGTGCGTGGAGCATTTTAATCCCCATTCCCTGAGTATATCAGTGTTTTTTCCCGAGGCCAAGGTTACCTGTTCAGTTTGAGTCTATCTTGTATTCACAAATGCCGAACAGTGTGTTGGTATGTTCCCATTTCTGTCACCACTTGTGCGGATTGTACTGTTTCATATATTATGGTTCGAACATTTCAAGAGCCCTATGCTTATTGCCTTTGAAAAGAGGGTTCTCGGCTTTAAGGCTTACAGTATAACCTGGCTTTTGGCCGCAAAGCTTCACAACTCTTCATGGGGAAGAAAAGCCCTCTCTTGTCGGTGCTGAAATCGTTTGTTTTTTTCTTCATGTTTCTGTCGCCCCCCCCCCTCCATTTGCAGCCGGGCTTGGGACCGGCCAAGGCGGAGTTCCTGGTGGTAGTAGGTCACGATCAATGATGTAATGGTGAGTGTTATCAACCAAAGTGTTGGGAAAATGGCAAGAGAATTGGGATTCACTGTAGAGAAATCACTGTGAAGAAGTCAGTGATCGCTTAAGTATAACATACTTGTTGTCGAGCCATCTAAGTAATTGTGCACAAAAATATTTTTTAAATAATCCACTAAATCGTTAGTATCAGACTGAAGATATTTTATCTGCAAGGATGGAGGAGGGAGGATGGGACCAATAATTGTTATTACAACAGTCTTCTTTTATAAATAAATGAGATATTGGTAGCACCGACCTGATAGGTCGAAACACGAGAGACAAAGCAGGAACATTGATGAAACCAGATGTGCCGCAACGGGTATTGAATAAAACTAGAACCAACTACACCTGGACTCCCCTGATGACCTACTGACTGAGTTGGCGAGGCTATGCAATCATGGGCTGTACAATCACTGCCTATGCAATCAATTGCTATACAATCAATGGCTATATAATCAATGGTAATACAATCACTGGCTATACAATCACTGGCTATACAATCACTGGTTATACAATCACTAGCGATACAATCAATAACTGTGCAATCACTGGCTATACAATCGCCGGCTGTAAATCAATGGCTGAACAATCACTGGCAACACAATCACTGGTAATACAATCAATGACAATGCAATCACTGGTTATACAATCACTTGCTATACAATCAATGACTATACAATCACTGGCTCTACAATCACTGGCTTCACAATCACTGGCTGTACAATGAATGGCGGTCTAAACTGAGTCATTAACAAGCTTGTGCACTGGAGTTTTATCCCAAGTAAAAGCCTAGACAAGTAAAATAACAAACAACAGATTCCCCCCCCCCCCCCCCCTGTAGTCCCGTAGGCGGTATGACGCAATACAAATTTCGACAACAAATCAGCACGGAGAGCATAGTGAGCCACACAAGAAGCACTGCTGGTCACAGGCAATGCACCAGAAAGTCAGGCTGACGAAATGACCAGCTCTCACTTTGTTAAAACAAAATACAGCTCAAGTCAAGGCTGCTACTCGAGTAGATGCATCGGTCATCTTCGCATGCGAAGGACGAACTATACATGTTTACAATCACTGACTACACAATGACTGGCTATACAATCAGTGGCTTTACAATGACTGGCTGTATATTCACTGGCTATACATACACTGGCTATAAAAAACACTGGCTACACAATGACTGGCTATGCAATCAACAGCTATACAATAACTGGTTATTATAGTTTTACATCTTTATTTCCTTGATTCCCAAGGCGTATAAACATCTACTCTTTTAACAACAAACCAATCGGGTAAATCAACTACCTACAAAACTTTGATAGACTGAATTCCTCCGTGTAACATATCTGTGTGCTGAAGAATGTCAGCAATGAACGTTTGAGTCAAACCTGACGAAATTTTGGCTTAAAGATAGAGAGACAGTATTTCCTGAACAAACACCAGTCTTGGCCTAGCGTTATAAAAGTTGGGTTTTTGTCTTTTAAAGACGCCATCAACACTGTTTGTGAGGTTTCTTATTATTATTTCTGTCCAATTTGTCATACTATGTAGTTTTAAAGAGTTTAGTAACAATTTTACATGTCCACGACGGCTAGAGCTCCATCGACCCGACTTCTGAGCTTAAGATGATACACTTTGAACACAAAAAAAGGGGGGGGGGGGAGATAAAAGCAACCTAATACAATTAACGTCCATTTCCTTGTCAAGGTCTTTTTTTTTTTTTAATGTCCAGGGTCTTTTACGGTGAATGGAATCTTTACGTCCCTTCACTTAAGTGCTAATTACTGCGGCGCACTGGAAATATCGGGAACAAGCGCAGCTCAACGTGAACAATAAAACTGTTGGCGGCTGAATCGCTCTCCGCACAAGCCATGACGTAGCAGTCACAGGCAAGGGTTATTCAGATTTTTTTGTGTGTGGGGTTTTTGTGTGTGTGTCCCGGGGGAGGGGGGGGTTTGGGGGTTCAGATGTAAGGGTGGGCAGTGCCTCTATCAGAGTCAGAATGAGGAACAATAGTGACAAGTCTAGCTCTGACTCTGGCGCCCCCCCCCCATGCCTTGAGTCACAGGTTTGTTTCGCCCCTGGAATCTATATACTCAAACTATTTTTTCAAAATTAAAGGAAATTAGTATTTTTTTAATTCAGGATAATCATTATAATTATTAACAACCATTTATTAAAAAAATTAAATAGTTGCCGATTCTGTCTACGTGATCGGGTAGGGCGGGGGTTGGAGAAGGGATATGGAGCCGAAATGAGGTCATCCCCCACACCATAGAGTTGCTTAAAATATAAACAAGGATCCCAGGATGCAGGATTTCACCGTTACCTTTGCACCAGACCAGAAACAGAGAGTATGGTCAAAACCAGTAACAGGGAGTATGGTCAAGTCCAGTAGCTGGGAGTCTGGTGAAGACCAAAGGTTTGGAGTCTGGTCAAGACCACTAGTTGGGAGTCTGGTCAAGTCCAGTAGTTGGGAGTCTGGTCTTGTTAGTTCTTTGGAAAGCACTAAATCAAGATTAGACTAATGAGTAAAAAATAGTAATGTGCGGGAAATTATTACAAAGAAATCTGAGAGAGCAATAGAAGCGTATGACCATTGTCATGGCAACCAGGTCAACACAAATCGATCTGGTTATCATTTAAAGAAAGATTTTGGTACAAGGCATGTAGGCCGAGGGTTCTGAGGTTATTGACCCCAATCTTAAGGAACTTTCTATTACAAAATATTGTGTGTCTAGCGCAAAAGAGGAACAAATATAAACATAGTCTCCGAATAGCTAAACTTGAAAGAAAATTTGATTGGTAAGGTTCTTATTTTTTTTGGTCAGACCAGCTTCCATCCCAAAAGTACCCAATCCTATTTGATGGAATACAGCCACCTGGTCGAGTTGATGACTTTTGCTCAATCGTTAAGTCAGGCTTTTGTAATTATTAGGGTCCTAACGTGATCTTAGGCTGGTATATGGGTAGTTTGGCCTAGGGGTGTTCTATTATCGGGGTGTTCTGCTGACGGGGTTTCCTGCTGAAGGGGTGTTCTGCTGACAGGGGGCTCGGCCTATGAGGTGTTCTGCTGACAGAGGGCTCAGCCTATGGGGTGTTCTGCTGACAGGGGGCTCGGCCTATGGGGTGTTCTGCTGACAGGGGGCTCGGCCTATGGGGTGTTCTGCCTTACATCTTTGTATTGAGCCATTCCTTCTACACCTCTTAGTAACCCCATACATCTTTGTGGACCACTTTGAAATGTTTAGATCCGAAATAAAAGCACGGAACCGAAATGATTAAGAAATAAATAAAGTCTTGTTGAGAGCACCTACACAGTCATGGAGACCTGACTATCTGGTAGCACACAATTGTTTAATGAAACAAATGCCATTGTAACGCTATGGGCAAAAAATGGAAATGAGGTTTTCAGTTCCAACTGTTTGCAAATGAGATCTCTTAGAAGTAGCGTAGCTGGGGCGTGTACCATCCGGGGCGGAGCTCCCCCCTGCGCCCCGCTCACATCCTACGCCGTTACCCAAAGCAAATTTTGAGACATGGGAAATAAAAACAACTTGTGGGTTTGATACGTGCTGTAGAATATTATTGTAAGTCTAACATGTCAAAAGCCCTAACCCCTTCCTTCAGAACCCAATATGAGAAGGTGTTAGGCTCCAATACTCGAGTCGTATGTGCTCGAGTCGTATGTGTTCAATTCGTATGTGTTCAAGTCGTATGTGTTCAAGTTGTATGTGTTCAAGTCGTATGTGCTCAAGTCGTATGTGTTCAAGTCGTATGTGTTCAAGTCGTATGTGTTCAAGTCGTAGGTGTTCAAGTCGTATGTGTTCAAGTCGTAAGAGTTCAAGTCGTATGTGTTCAAGTCGGATGTGTTCAAGTCGTATGTGTTCAAGTCGTATGTGTTCAAGTCGTACGTGTTCAAGTCGTATGTGTTCAAGTCGTATGTGTTCAAGTCGTATGTGTTCAAGTCGTATGTGTTCAAGTCGTACGTGTTCAAGTCGTATGTGTTCAAGTCGTATGTGTTCAAGTCGTATGTGTTCAAGTCGTATGTGTTCAAGTCGTATGTGTTCAAGTCGTATGTGTTCAAGTCGTATGTGTTCAAGTCGTATGTGTTCAAGTCGTACGTGTTCAAGTCGTATGTGTTCAAGTCGTATGTGTTCAAGTCGTATGTTGTCAAGTCGTATGTGTTCAAGTCGTACGTGTTCAAGTCGTATGTGTTCAAGTCGTACGTGTTCAAGTCGTATGTGTTCAAGTCGTATGTGTTCAAGTCGTATGTTGTCAAGTCGTATGTGTTCAAGTCGTATGTGTTCAAGTCGTATGTGTTCGCGTCGTATGTGTTCAAGTCGTACGTGTTCAAGTCGTACGTGTTCAAGTCACATGTGTTCAAGTTGCACGTGTTCAAGTCGTATGTGTTCCACACGATTATATAAAACTGTATGTACATAAGGCGTCAGTATTAACATACAACATTTGAGCTGCCTTTCATCTCATTCACATGCGTTTTGACGTGTCCTTGAACTGACAGCGCCTTTTCCTTTGAAAGAAATAACGAGCACTGGTTATTGTTTGAGCAGCTCAACTATTTAAAAAAAAAAATCTAAGTGCAACATTTATCTGCAGTAAAGACAAGTAAACGAACAGGAATGTCTGCATTGCCCTGTGTAGCAGTATGACATTAGAAAGTTCCAGTCTAATTCTACCCATTTCAAGATTGTTGACCCAATGCTTTTCTTAAAATTAGCTATTTTGTTTAAATTAAAAAAATTGGTATTAGAACTGATTTGATTGGAAAGATTAAAAAAAAATAAAATAATTAAAAACTCATTGTTAGTACATTGACCAAAAAAAAAAACCCCACTATTAAGTGTATGAAAAAAGTAAACTTGTATTTATAACACTAAGATTCATTCATATATTATTATTCAAACGTTATAAGAAGGAAACCTGATTAGAAAAGTTGTATTAACAACTACCCCCCGCCCCCCCCAACCCAACCTCCTAACCCCACACACTCAAATCTGCTGAAAACGATTTTCAAACAGAGCCAAAATAAAATAAGATACACGAGTAGCAGTTATAACAACGTTTTAGTTTTGTAGATAAGATTCATGATAAGAAGATCCTGGTGTTTTTAAACAAAAATTATTTTGTACTTTTCTGAGCGTTTTAATAAAGGTGTGTTTATCAAATCGATTTGAGAGTATTTTTAATTTAAAAAAAAAAAAAGAAGACGTTTTTGACTTTATTCTCCTTTATTTATCACACCCTGTGGCCTGATTGTACCGCCAAATGGGGATGGCTAAGTGTACACAATTTTCAATTCAATGGGACATTAGGAGGTGGATCAACATTGAGGTGCAAGATTTGAAGTTGGGTTGTACCGTCTTCGGGATTAGGTTACCATATACAATTTCGAGTCCGTCGGACGGAGGGAATATGTAGATAGTTGAGTTCCAAGAGTTTAACCAGAAAAAACACGTTACAAGAGTTTAACCGGACAAAAACGTTACAAGAGTTTAACCAGAAAAACACGTTACAAGAGTTTAACCTGACAAACACGTTACAAGAGTTTAACCGGACAAACACGTTACAAGAGTTTAACCGGACAAACACGTTACAAGAGTTTAACCGGACAAACACGTTACAAGAGTTTAACCGGACAAACACGTTACAAGAGTTTAACCGGACAAACACGCTACAAGAGTTTAACCGGACAAACACGTTACAAGAGTTTAACCGGACAAACACGTTACAAGAGTTTAACCGGACAAACACGTTACAAGAGTTTAACCAGAAAAACACGTTACAAGAGTTTAACCAGAACAACACATTACAAGAGTTTAACCGGACAAACACGTTACAAGAGTTTAACCGGACAAACACGTTACAAGAGTTTAACCGTACAAACACGTTACAAGAGATTAACAGGACAAACACGTTACAAGAGTTTAACCGGACAAACACATTACAAGAGTTTAACCGGACAAACACGTTACAAGAGATTAACCGGACAAACACGCGGGCAAAATGAATGGGAAGCTAAAAAAAAAAGCGGATGTAAAAAGTGCTTCAATGTCAACTAAAGACACATGTCAATGTCAACTAAAGACACATGTCAATGTCAACTAAAGACACATGTCAATGTCAACTAAAGACACATGTCAATGTCAACTAAAGACACATGTCAATGTCAACTAAAGACACATGTCAATGTCAACTAAAGACACATGTCAATGTCAACTAAAGACACATGTCAATGTCAACTAAAGACACATGTCAATGTCAACTAAAGACACATGTCAATGTCAACTAAAGACACATATCAATGTCAACTAAAGACGCATGTCAATGTCAACTAAAGATGCATGTCAATGTCAACTAAAGACGCATGTCAATGTCAACTAAAGACACATGTAAATGTCAACTAAAGAAACATGTCAATGTCAACTAAAGACACATGTCAATGTCAACTAAAGACACATGTCAATGTCAACTAAAGACACATGTAAATGTCAACTAAAGACACATGTCAATGTCAACTAAAGACTCATGTCAATGTCAACTAAAGACGCATGTCAATGTCAACTAAAGACGCATGTCAATGTCAACTAAAGACACATGTCAATGTCAACTAAAGACACATGTCAATGTCAACTAAAGACACATGTCAATGTCAACTAAAGACACATGTCAATGTCAACTAAAGACGCATGTCAATGTCAACTAAAGACGCATGTCAATGTCAACTAAACACACATGTCAATGTCAACTAAAGACACATGCCAATGTCAATTAAAGACGCATGTCAATGTCAACTAAAGACGCATGTCAATGTCAACTAAAGACGCATGTCAATGTCAACTAAAGACACATGTCAATGTCAACTAAAGACGCATGTCAATGTCAACTAAAGACGCATAAATGTACTCAAAAAAGATTTTAGGAACAGTTCTCAAACGTCACTAACAGAAACTGCGATCTTCAATATTTAACACATTTAGTCCTGACCACAACATTAAGTTTTGATGCCTGGCGCCACATTAAACCACGAGTGCTCAAAGAATTAGACAAAGAAATCGCTCCTGCACTGACAATCCTCTTCCAATCGTCACTATGCACAGGAAATGTTCCAGCAGACTGGAGAACAGCGCATGTCACTCCAATTTACAAGAAAGGGGAGCATTCCGACCCTGCCAACTATCGCCCGATATTTTATTTTATTTTATTTAGGCATTTTTTATATAGCGCTTATCATAAAGCTCTAAGCGCTTTAAAATTATTAAAACATATCCCTCACTAGCGTCGTCTGCAATCTGTTGGAGCACATAATCGTAAGCACTGTCATGAAGCATCTTGAAAGCCAAAATATACTCAATGACTGTCAACATGGCTTCCGAGCCAATAGGTCATGTGAGACCCAGCTTCTCGAATTTGTAGAAGACTTGATGACCAATCTGGAGAACCACAAGCAGACTGACGTGCTAGTAATGGACTTCGCAAAAGCATTTGACCGGGTGAAGCATAGTTTGCTTCTACACAAACTCCAGATATATGGGATTCAAGGCATCACTAAAACATGGATCTCTAGCTTCTTCAGCCACCGACGCCAAGCAGTAGTGGTGGGCGGTACAAGCTCCTCCTTTGTCAATGTGAAGTCAGGGGTCCCCCAGGGATCAGTCCTGGGCCCCTGTTTGTTCCTAGCATACATTAATGACCTACCGGAGAAACTGACATCACAGGCAAGACTGTTTGCAGATGACACAGCAGTGTATAGGACGATCGCCAACAGATCTGACCAGGACCAGCTACAACAGGATCTCAATCTGTTAGCTGAGTGGGAGATGAGCTGGGACATGGAATTTCACCCTGCCAAGTGCCAGACACTATCAATCTCTAGAAGTTGTACTCCTCTACACTACCAATACGAACTGCACGGCCATATACTTGAGCAAGTTTCCTCCGTAAAGTACCTGGGTGTTACCATTCAAAGAGAGGTCCGCTGGGACGAGCATATTAACAATGTATGTAACCAAGCAAACCAAGCCTTGGGGTTCTTAAGGCGAAATCTAAAGATTGGCAACTCCTGTGTGAAAGAAAGAGCATATAAAGCCTTTATCCGTCCGATTTTAGATTATGCATCTTCAGTCTGGGACCCATTTACCCAGAAGAGCATTGACAGGTTGGAGGCGGTCCAGCGACGAGCAGCACGCTTTGTCCTAAACCGCTACAGGAATACCTCTAGTGTTGGCAGCATGCTAGAAACACTAGGCTGGTCACCATTGGAGAAACGACGACGACAATCCAGGCTCTCCATGATGTACAAGATAAATAATGGGCTGGTCCACTGTTCCAGTATTAAACAGAAACTCGTCCCTCTCCCCCATAGACAGCGACGAGGCCATGACAGGCAATTCAGGCTCATACCAGCAAGAAGCCAGTATAGGAGCTGCTCATTCCTGCCCAAGACAATCAGGGACTGGAACCATCTTTCAAAAGGAACAGTTGAGGCGACAACACTAGACACATTTGTGTCTATTGCCTCAAGCCTTCAAACCCCTAGTGCATAATTTCCTCATCACCACCAGTAACAGAAACATGGCAAATCCCATCTACATGATTAGGAGCCAAAATGATCAATAAATTGATCGTGGGCCCTTAAGATATAGAAGAAGAAAGGCCAGTAATGGCTTGACAAGGCCGCGTGAAGAGGTTGGCGAAAGGGACACCCGCAACGGGCGCCAGCTTCACGAGGATGATTACAAAATTATCTTCAGATGGAAACTTAATGGTGCGTTAACCAATGCAATCCCAAGTACTTCACAAAGGCAAAGGGTGCCAAAATCATCTTTTTACTGGTCCGTCACGGGCGACACTTTTTTCTCTATATTTTGGGGCGTCATTTTCAGACTTTTCCCCAGACGCCACTTTTCCCCGTCACGTACCTGCTCCCACATATTTCAAAAAAATACAACATCCCCATTGGTAAGGAAAGAGATGAAAACACAAAAAGATCCTTGCATAAAAGAGCAAGGCAAGTTATTGTGACGATGACCGAACCATGTGATGAATTTCTTTATGCCTGAGATCAAAACCGAGATGTCATTTTTCTTGATCCCTATTGCCTCATTAAGCCAGATCTATCTTACCTGTCCGAGGAATATTGGCAGCGCCAGTATTATCGATCCTAGCCATAGCAACAGGACGACCACCCGAGCTCGGCGCCTGGTGCAGATTCGTTTAGATCTCAGTGGAGACAAGATGGCGATGTTCCTGAAATTCGAAACTAATTACTGTAATATAACAGCAATATTAAAAAAAATATTTCAAAAAAAATATAATTGAAAAAAAATCCAAACTTCCAAATCAGTAGGCTCAATAAAATACGTCTTTAAAAAATAAAAAAAAATTGAGATGGCTTTACCGAAGTTGGTAGCTGATAATTTACATAGGTTCAAGAACATAAGCAAATCAGAATTTATAAAAAGTTGTGCGTTTCATGAATAATCTGTACATTCACTCAAGGCTTATTGTCATAGATCCATGCAAGAAAAGAATGCTCCTATGATCAAACGAAAATATACAAGCTTTGCATCATGTGAACTTATTTTGAGTAGTGATCACATCTGTACAAATGTTAGCGGTAGACATCTCATCTCTACAGATGTTAGGGGTAGACATCTCATCTCTACAGATGTTAGCGGTAGAGATCTCATCTCTTAAGTTGTTAGTGGTCTCTGCTTATATTCTGACAACACCAAATAATTCTTTTACAACCATGAAACAACATAGGCTAATGACATTTTTAAACTTCGCTTTTAATCGTGTGTTTTTTGGGGGCAAAAATTGGAAAAGTTTAATGACCCACTTTCCGTCATGCTATCGAACTGAATCTTGGCACATTGATGCATTGCCGATGACAACATACTTTGTCAAATGTTCACCCACAACCCCAAAAACAAGTTTTTCCCGTTTTTAAAGGGGAAGATGAAGGAAGTAGGAAGCAATGATTTCTTAAGAACTGTAGCCATCGCTGAGCTCCACAAAATGCTTATAAAAGGATTTATTGGAAAAAACTTTTTTCAATTCGATGTACATAACATAATTTTTTAGAACAATTTTCAGTCACACTAAAACACAAAAATGCACCTATCACTTAGGTAAACAATTTGTTGAAACTTCCACGAGCATACAGACCAGATTTTTAAAAATTTGTTGAGGTAGAAAAAAACTCATTCTAAAGGAACAGGCGGGTTGTAATTCAGACTGAATGAAATCCTTGGAAAAAGCTGGCAACCTTCGTTGTCCTGAATTGCAATACTAATGATAGTTGGTAAGTCGAAATCACCCATGAACCCCTTTATCATCGTGTATGCTAATTGTGAACTTGGCTGCGGGTGCGCAGATGGCCGATGAGACCGATTCTGGCACGAAATGTTCTCGTGCCGTTAAGTGCAAGGGATTCATGGGACATCTCCAGGTGTAGAGTTAAACCAGGCTTTTCTGGCAAGTCCTTTGTGCTCTGCAGCCGCCGTTGGCTTCATGTTCTATGGAGCCTTTGTGTACGTAGTCAATGAATAGCTGTTTATGTACTGGTCATTACCAAATTGTAAGATCTTTAAAATATTGGTGTCATGTATTTCAAGAATTTGTCACTACAAAATTTTTTCTTTCACAATAGAAGAGAGGTCTTCAGAGCTGGGAGTGTTATTAATACGCAAAAAAAAAATCAAAAAAAAAAAAATCAATATCTCTGTATATGACCAGCTTCTGAACCCTAAAAAGTGGGAACAATGACGTCATTGTATAAATATATTTCACCTGATAAAAAAATATCCTCTGCCTAAATGTTTTACATCGTCATCGAAGCCAGCGCTAATTCATAAGAACATTTCAGTCCTACTATTACAATAAGAGGAGAGCTGTTTTTAACTCGCTCAATTCTATCCTTGATGACTTTAAGCCCTAAAAGGTATTCTTTTAATGAGCTAGTTATGTGACCTACCTTTCTATACTCATGACGGTCAAGGTCATGACAGAACACACCATGGCGACTATCTGGCAGTAGTGGACAGACTTGCACAAGAAGTAGCCGAGAGCCCAAGTAAATGAGAAGAATGCAATGCACTGTGAAAAGCAAATCAGAAAAAAAAATAAGTGAACATAAAAGAAAGGTCAAGAAACAACTATGTGAACATACTGCCAAAGGTCATATTGTGTGATTTATATTCATTTAAGAGCAAACAAATCAGAGATGTATTTTTGTCTGAATAGGTCAGAAGTAATTATTTTTTAAAAATGCTATGATTATGATCTCATTAAAAGCATACGCTTGTTGAAGATCTCATATGAAATGGATTAATCTATAAATGTATGAATAAGGGCGTGTTGCCCCCAGTGGCGAAAAAAATCTCTGCAGCGAGACGAAAAATGACTCCCCTCATTATAGATAAAGAAAGTGACGCCCAGGGCGGACCGCCCCCTCAACCGCCCCCCCCCCTCAACTGGCCCCTTTCTACGCCAGTGGCAGCAATAAACGGGTAACATGTTTTCCTATGACAGTTTGGCTCTGACACGCCAAACGATGCCGGCCAGTTTGATAAAAAATAAAAAATCTGGCAATCGATTTCAGCCAACTTCATTTTGATTCCTTACCACCTGCCGTCATTGTTTGACATTTTAAGTCACATTTGAAACATTAAACGGCTGTAATAAAATACAAAACCATTTTTTTCCTTTGTACCGCGCTTCCAGCCTTTGGGATGAAGCATGTTTTTTCAATAAACTTTATTATTATTATTATTATTAAAGATATTGATACAATATCACGCCAACGAGCAGGGGCGTCTACAGATGGTGGGAATAGAAGCCGTAGCTTCCAATATGAGTTAGGGGTGTGTGGGGCGAACCCCCCCCCCCCACACCGCGTTTTGCCTGCTTTTGATTATCGTCAGGTAAAAAAAAGTTAATGTTGAAAAGGAAAAAAAAAAAAATATTAAATAAAACCAAATATAAAAAAAATAAAAAATAAAAAGGGGCCAACCCCCCCCCCCCCCACACCGCGTTTTGCCTGCTTTTGATTATCGTCAGGTAAAAAAAAGTTAATGTTGAAAAGGAAAAAAAAAAAATATTCAATATCACCTAGTATAACAAAACTTCAAATTAAAATTATAACAATAATTAAAATAAAAAATCATAGGTGTACTCAAATTCATTTTATGAAGAGCTCGCCTCCACCCACTGGATGTGCTAATTTGCTTTGATGAAAATCTGCACAATTGTAAAAGTTTGTTATCCACATTATTATTGAATGATCAACGGTGTTAAAACAATATTTAACTATATATTTTGTTAAATGTTGACAGTAGAACATTTCTTCAATGATTAGCTTCACACAGATTGACCAAGTACAACGTTTGGGGCAGCGGAGTTGGCTTCAACCTAGAGAAAAGGGGGGGGGGCTGGTGTAGACACCTCTGTTATAGAGCATACGATAAAACGTAATAAATTGTAGTTATTGAAACAGTTTATTCTCATAGTAAAAAGCAGGGGTGTCATGGGGCAGTGCCATGAAGATTAATGTTGGGGTACAGTGATGTGGGAAGAATCGCAAGCACTGTTTTTATGTATCCTTCATTTCCATCGTATTCACAAGACCTTTATTCACATCGAATTCCCAAGACCTTCATTCAAATCATATTCACAAGACCTTCATTCCCATCGTATTCCCAAGACCTTCATTCCCATCTTATTCACAATACCTTTATTCCTATCGTATTCCCAAAACCGTCATTCACATCGTATTCCCAAGACCTTCATTCCCGTCATATTCACAAGACTTCCATTCACATCGTATTCCGAAGACCTTTATTCCCATCGTATTCACAAGACCTTCATTCCCATCTTATTCAAGAGACCTTCATTCCCATCGTATTCAAAAGACCTCCATTCCCATCGTATTCCCAAGATCTTCATTCACATCGTAATCCTAAGACCTTCATTTTCATCATATTCACAAGATCGTTATTCCCATCGTATTCCCCAGACCTTCATTCACATCGTATTCACAAGACCTTCATTCCCATCGTATTCAAAAGACCTTCATTCCCATCGTATTCCCAAGATCTTCATTCACATCGCATTCCTAAGACCTTCATTTTCATCATATTCACAAGATCTTTATTCCCATCGTATTCCCCAGACCTTCATTCACATCGTATTCACAAGACCTTCATTCCCATCGTATTCAAAAGACCTTCATTCCAATCGTATTCCCAAGATCTTCATTCACATCGTATTCCCAAGACCTTCATTTCCATCATATTCACAAGACCTTCATTCCCATCGTATTCCCAAGACCTTCATTCCAATCGTATTCACAAAACCTTCATTCCCATCGTATTCAAAAGACCTTCATTCCCATTTTACTCACAAGACTTTTATTTCCAATTCTATTCCCAAGACCTTCATTCCCATTCTATTCACAAGACCTTCATTCCCATCTTATTTACAAGACCTTCAGTCCCATCTTATTTACAAGACCGTCATTCCCATCTTATTCACAAGACCTTCATTCCCAACGTATTCCCAAGACCTTCATTCCCATCCTATTCACAAGACCTTCATTCCCATCTTATTTACAAGACCTTCAGTCCCATCTTATTTACAAGACCTTCATTCCCATCTTATTCACAAGACCTTCATTTCCATCGTATTTACAAGACCTTCCTTCTTTGTTTAACAAAATGTTCATTATTATTATCTTCGTACTTAACGATGCCTGTTGATTTTTGTCAAGTTCATTTTTCCAGATGATCTTTTCTGCTTATAGAGAGATCACAGTCTTTCATTATAATAAATAGTTATACATTTAAGTCTAACTTTCGCCTTTAAAACTATTTAGCTGAAAACTTGTTTGATTTTCTTTCTTTCTTTGACAAGGCCACCTTCTGGCTTGTAAAGTTTAACTCAATGGCCATGGTCTTAACAATTCTACATTTCTTTCCTTGCCTTCGACTCTCCACTTGTTACCATTGACTCTCCCCATGTTAACATCGACTAGAGACCGACCGAAAGTGATTTTCTGATTTCGGCCGAAGCAGAAAATAGGCCGAAAGTTTAAAATGACTTTCGGCCGAAACCGAAAAAAGGCCGAAAGTTTAAAAATGACTTTCGGCAAAAAGCGAAAAAAGGCCGAAAGTTAATATTGAATTTCGGCCGAAACCGAAGCCGAAAATGAAATATTAAGATATTTTGAAATTCATTCACGTATACATTCTGCATACATCGAAAATGATGTGGGAAAGTATAAATATTTACATTCTTTTTATAAAAAATGAGAAAATCGTGAATATTAATGAATAGACATCTAATATAGGGGTCTCAAACTCCGGCCCGCGAGACATTTGTGACCCGTAAGACGATATTTTGCGTATAAAGTTTATTGTAAATGCGCCGGCCCGTTTCCCCCATTCTCATATCTGTAACGTGACTCTCCGCGACGGTTTCAGTCGAATCTCACCGTCTAGTCTAATACAGTTTTTTTTAAAAATGTTTCTATATATTTATGTATTCCAGATCTCTGGCAACAGTGAGTAGTTCTTGAGAACCCTTAATGATTGTATTGTTATTTATAAATGTTGAGCAGATTGTAACAGTTGTAATCGTTTTTTGTGTGGATTACTTGATGCGACCCACTCTCATTCAGACACAACCTAATGTGCCACCACCCACCCCCCCCCACCCCCCCCCCCCTTGATCTAATGAATACTTTGGATTTTACCATTTTAATATAAAAGTAATTTAAATTGCTTTACATTTTTTTTTTAAAATTAGTACGGTAGGAGAAAATTTGGCAAAAATTGAGGGGGGGGGGAGGAGGAGAGGAAATTAATGCAAAATATTATTTTTTCAACTGAGTCTCTAAAAAATGTGGTTCTAAAAGATCGCTTAGTTTGTTTTTAAAAATCGTTTAGTTGGTTGTTTTTGATCGGTTAGTTTGTTCATGAAGATTGTTTAGTTTGTTGTTAAAGATCGTTTAGTTTGTTGTTAAAGATCGTTTAGTTTGTTGTTAAAGATCGTTTAGTTTGATGTTAAAGATCATTTAGTTTTTGTTAAAGATCATTTAGATGATTGTTAAAGATCGTTTAGTTTGTTGTTAAAGATTGTTTAGTTAGTTGTTCAAGATCGTTAAGTTTGTTGTTCAAGATCGTTAAGTTTGTTGTTAAAGATCGCTTAATTTGTTGTTAAAGATTGTTTAGTTTGTTCTTAAAGATCGCTTAGTTTGTTGTTGAAGATCATTTACTTTGTTCATAAAGATCGCTTAATTTGTTGTTAAAGATCGCTTAGCTTGTTGTAAAGATCGCTCATTTTTTTCATAAGATCGCTTAGTTTGTTCTTAAAGATCTTTTTGTTTGTTCCTAAAGAACATTTAGTTTTCTGTTAAAGATCGCTAAGTTTATTCTTTTAAATCATTTAGTTTACTATTAAAGATAATTTGTTTTGTTCTTAAAGATCATTAATTCGGTTTTAAAAATCGTTTAGTTTGTTCTATAAGATCGTTTAGTTTGTTATTAAAGATCACTTAAATTGTTTTTAAAGATCGTTTAGTTTGTTTTAAAGATCGTTTAGTTTGTTGTTAAAGGTCCCATAGTTTGTTGTTAAATATCGTTTAGTTTGTTCTCAAAGATCGCTTAATTTGTTCTTAAATGTCGCTTAGTTTGTTGTTAAATATCGTTTTCGCTGAGTATTAAATGACCCGATACCTGAGTCCCTTTCGGCCGGATCCGGCCGAAAGGTCTAAGTCAATTTCGGCCGAAACCAAAGAAAAACAGAAAATTAACTTTTCTCTTTCGGCCGAAACCGAAATTAAGCCGAAAGTTAACTTTTCAGTTTCGGCCGAAACCGAAACTTGGCTGAAAGTGATAAAATGGCCACTTTCGGCGTCGAAACCGAAGCCGAAGCCGAAGCCGAAATTCGGTCGGTCTCTACCATCGACCCCCGGATTTGGAAAAAGTGACCCATTTTGAACATTATTTTTTTTGCTGGTTGTAAGTAGTCATAGCAATGTATTGATTTCTCGAAATCTGTTCAACCAATGTTCCATTAGAGTCCGTCCCTTGGCCACGTTATATCCCATCATTCCTTTGATGCCCACC